ATGACACGAGGTTTGTCAAACACCCTGTCAATATTTTGTACTGTGTATTCAAACATGTGATAGGGCGGAAGTTTTTGGGATCAGTCAAGTCTCCTTTTTTGGGAAGGAGTATTGTTCGACCTTTGCAGAACCATGGAGGAACATCACCTGTGTCCACGAGAGTATTAAAACAGTGTAGTAATGGTGTTTGGACACAGGGGAACAGTTTCCAATACCGGTTTCGAATGCCATCAGGCCCTGGAGCTGTATTAGATTTGGACTTTTTTATAACACTTTTCAGGCAATCTGGTGAGATGTAACAGACAAACGACCTAGTTACTTTCTCATGCATTGCATGGTCATAATCACGGACCCATGGTGCCTCAAGGTTACAGTTGCCGGGTACAGACCACAACTGTTTCCAGAACCTTTCATTGGCATCCATGGGAGGCCGTTTATCATGTTCACCATCACCCTTTGTTTTCAATTGCCTGTAGAAGTGCTTTTCATTATTTCTAAAAAGTTTATTTTGTTTGATAAATATATTTTTCTTTTCCCATTTTTTCTTTCTTTCAGTCCAAACCCTTATTTTGGCCTTAAGGGAATCGACAATTTGGAGAAGTACCTTTCTTTTGTTGTCTTGTATTGTAATTTTAATTTTCTCCAAATTGTCTTTTGCCGTTTTGACATTGGACTCCCTGATGATCTTAACTTCAGGCACAGCTCTATCCAGGAAATGTATTTTCGAGTTTCCGTTAGTTTTACTTGAAACCGGTTTTTCTTTGGTGTATTGTTCTTAGTATTAGATGATTTTTCTTTGGAAACTGTTTGAATTTCCTCCAAGGTTCGAGCGGCAGCATAGACACAACAATTAACTTCATGTAATGAGCAGTCCGATGAAAGTTTCATAGAAATAATATCATTTAATAAATTGATTTCGGTTTTGGGAAAAGATTCATTTGTTTGTTTAATTGGCCTCCGATTTTCTAAAGGTATGCCAGATATTTCATCATAAATAGAATGAAACAAAATATACACAGGGTTTTCGGAAAGATCTGCAACTGAAGAAGGGGAAGAGTGAGGGTCTGAAATTTCGGGGCCAATTGGCTCTACGCCGGAAGAGTTTCCATCAGCAAGAGGAAAGAGGTTGACACGGACGTCCATCAGAAGTTTTGGGTCTGCTGCCACTTGAGCATTCTGTTCATGCAAAGGTTCCTGACGGGCACCAGTTGTGGGTTGAACTGGCTCACGGGGCAAGAGATTTTTAAGCCGCCGGAATTGATCTCGGAGATTTTGCTCCGTCAGGTAAGCATACATGGGCATGGCATTGTCCCAATGCAGCTTCAGCGACTTGCCATTGATACGTGGATTTTCAGGCCATCCTGTCGCTCTCGCACACTCAAGTAGTGTGGTTTTAAGGTGGGGTTCTGTGCCTTCCCCTGGGGCAAGTCCCATCTCCAGTATGGTTGGTGTCACTACCGGAGGAAGGCTGACTGGGCTGCGGAGTTGAAAGATAAAATTCTTCTTGGCTATTTGTAACCCAGTGAAAAACCAGCTTCGGGGGGTCAGCCCTAACTGGGTGATGTACGTTCAGTTCAGGGAATAAAATTCCCCTATCTAGGCCCACCACGGAGAGGCGTACATCATCAGGCCCTTATTATTATTATTATTATTATTATTATTATTTTTTATCAGTAAGTACTTCATCACAATGTCCCTTAGTGCTGGCACTGGAAGGTCTTCCCGATCTCGCTTATCCTCAATTATCCCGAAAAAAGGAAGTGCAAAATATTATTTCCTAAAATAGGTATCATGTCCGCATAGTTGATTATTGGAGATACTTCATGACGGTTTACTTTTATCTTTTTCCATTCATAGTGATTGTGTTCTAACTTTGATGTCTGTAAATGTCCAGACGTGTATTTGGTTCAAATACAGCCAATAATTATATTAACTTAGAACAAATTCTCTTGAATATATGCAAACTGTTATAGGTGTACAATACAACCTTCGTTTCAGAAACTTCCTTCAGGCACCCTTCAAATAAAGAAGTAAGTATACATTGATGCTGAACGTTCTCAAGAGTAATTGTCCGAAAGGCAAGTTGGACTAATGGAGTTTCTCGTACACATTCCTCAACACACAATACAGGAATGAAGGCCTGTTTAATCCAATGTGCTGGAATTGCATCTCCACGATTCTAACTAAGGAAACAGCACCCATACATTACGAAATTCCGAAGATAGTCAGGTTTCAGTATAACTAGCTCGTGTTGATATCACACCCTTCCACGCACCACGTGCAGGCCGGTATCAGTAGAATCAAAACATCGTTTGAAGTGTCGCTCGTATCATCAGCATGGCCTCCAAACAGATCATTATTTCCTGGCACATATAAATCAGTGGGTTACTTGGTGCGGCAGGTTGTGTCTTCAGGCCATAATTGGTGTCTAGAATCAGGCCTCCGGTCCTGATAATTATACAAACTAACAGATGTGCGTTCAGTCCGTTTCTCCCAAATTCCGCAAATGTGAAAGATAGGTTATATAAATATTTAAGCATGGATAAATTTGTCTGCAACAGTCGTTTCGTAACTCCCATTTATATACTTTGAAACGCATCTGTCTGCAAATGATAAGAAATTTAATATTCTTTCATGTGTTTATAATTTTGTACCCAGTTGTTATGACGTGATATCATTCGATCTAAAGCAAAGATACCCTGGAACATACGACAGAAAATGCATATTGGTATTTCAAATTACCTGTATTGTGGTTTGATAAATCAAGATCGGCATTAAATGTTATTCTTATTTTACAAGACATCGGCTTGACCGATTTCCTCATTTGGTGAAAGCAGTCACCAATGCATAGATACTATCATCGTAACAACTGTTTCAAATTTATTGAGCCGAAATTTAAACCGAAGGTTTTGTTTAATCAGCGCGATACATAAAACATTTGCAATGTTTGTCCCGAAATAACGCAAGAATGATAACCACGAGACAAGTGTACTCAGCGAGAGAATATTCAGTGACGACGAGCGTTTCTCACCAGTCTAGGATTGGTGACAGAATTTCAGCATACCTGATCATATACGAAAAGAATTCAACGGAAGACAAAACTATAAATAGTAGCTCAGCGAAAAACTATTGCTTAAACAGTCTGAATTGGGTTGGTCGTCAAACTTGCAGGAATACATTTAAAAATTACAAATCAGTGTGTGAGAGAGGAGGGAGGAGAAAGAGAGAGAGGGGAGAAAGAGAGAGAGGGGTAGAGAGAGAGAGATTATTTATCTCGCCCGTTACAATACGCAGTTGAAATACATCAAATATATTTCTATTATTGTTATATCGGCCACACACATGGGTTATGGGAGACCTTCTGCATAAAATAGACGTTACATTCATCTCACACACAGAACACATGCACACTAACTTATGACAAGCACTCCCGTTTCTCTTGCCCAGTACAATAACGCCGCCATCTGATGGCCGCTTGGACCTAATCGACAGACCAGATCAACCGGTGACCGAACGACGATGCATTCAGAAGGGAATACGTCATTAACCAGGACTGATCCCCGGCTCCAGTATCACTGATTCCAAGCATACATATAGGCTGCCATAAGCTTAACCCGGAATCCTCACATTGGTAAAGGAGCGATGAGGTAGCCTAGTTGTTAAAGCTTCTGTTCGTCACCCAGAAGACCCGGTTCCGATCTCCACATAGGAAAAATATGAAGATCCATTACTGGTGTCCCCGGCCGTGATATTCCTGAAATGATGGGAAAACTTTAAACCTCAATGACTCACTCGCTGGGGTGGAACGCCATGGAATGGTCTGGCTGGTTTAGGCGGTGTAAAACAACATTACATCAACCATAGTGTCAGTTGAAATTAGGTCATGTAAAACCAGGTTTCTATCCTATAAATACAGCATCATGTGAATGAGTGCTGATTTAAAGGTGATTTACCGTGCTCATGTTTCATGGTTCATTGAGTTCATTTATGGTTCATTGACCCTGACAAAGAACGCGAAGGCCTCAAGGGTTTTCCTGTTTCTCTATTTGAGTCTTTTGTGACCGATATCCCATTTAATCAGAAATATACATGTGTATACTTGTCTGTCGACATGAATATGCAAACCTGTGTTACTTACGTACGTTTCCCAGAGAATACATCTTTGTACATCACCAAATACATATTTCTACATGTTACTAAACGCAATCACAAAGTCCATCGTTATATAGCATGCTGCATTGTTAAAACATTCTATTAGTAATAGTATTCGTTAAACATGTTGATGTCGAAATGAAAATTTGATGGATCTACAAGTTAGTATATGTTTATTATTTCTTTTAGTTAATCAAGTTGGCTGCCTTGGTTGAAGTAATTCACCCAACTCCGTAGAACGACCCTCATGTTGTCAATCACTGGATTGTCTTGTCCAGACACGATTATCTACAGATCGCCGTCATATACATGTAGCTGGAATAATGCTGAGAGCAGTGTTGAACAACAAACAGACAAATTATTATCAGCCATTTTATCATCAACAGTTCCAAATTTGCTACCGTCATTCACAAAGTGTTAGTAATCTAATAAGAGCACTTGAAGAAAATATATTGTGAAAGTGATAAACTGCAGATAAGAGCCATACGTTATTGTGTGGCTAAAACAAGATGACGACATATAATAGTTCAATCAGTATTTTACCTGTGACGGGCGAAAAATATAGACCTTGCATTATTGAAGATAACAAAATCGTTTGATCAAACGGTTGATAGAACCTTATCATAAATGTAACTAAAGTATTTGAGCGGAATTGCAATATAGCACACGAATAAAACACGATTTTTTACCAATTTTTGTTCGAGTTCAAGGGGCTGTGTAGATTCTGTGAAATGACCGGAGGCTTGGAAAAGATCGCTTGAGTTAATCAAACGTGAAACGATAACATTCAGGTTTTCCTGGGTATTTCAATCTTCACAGCCATTTGCTTCGTCCACTGACACCGACAAACACCGTGATAATGGCTCCTGTTAATTACGTTATTTTTATTTATTTTTTCATAGGTGTATCCACAGGATTGGAGTCCATGTAAGTATATGGCATTGATTTCTTTTTTAGTAAGTTGCATTGTGACATACCATTTTAGACGGTTATTGATTACCTTGTAGAAACAAGAGAGACTATCTTACCGAAGCAAGTCGGCGTCACTTCGAGACATTTTTATGCATTAAAAGACGATTGGAAAATATATTTCAAAAACATGTTAACACTAGATATTAGTCTTTGTAGAAAAACTGATATCCTTTCGAAAAATATTAGATTTTCTCTGGTATAAATAGTACCCAGCTCCCTTTGAAGTTATTCATCCACCGACGGAGGAAGACGTTTATGAAATCGATCACCTTTCGTTTGGCGCAAACCAACACAGTGCAATCTACAAGTCTGATGTTCCTACTGTGCAACTGTGAATTTCATCGGCGTATATCGTGCATCATGATTTAAAACGTTGTATATGTAGCTCTAAGAAGCGGGGAATCTCCGTTGCAACCGTTTGGTCCCATATATTTTCGATGGGCCCATTGACAATTGAATAGTGGAAATATAGGCAATAAGCCATTCCATGGGCATAAATAATCCCTTAAACCCCTTCGTCAAATTCCCTTATAATGTTTTTACCTTTTGATGAATCACATCAGTAAGACAGAGCGTTGGTGCACTTGGGGATGCTCACGTCTTGCGCAATGTCTTATTGCCAAGTGTTTCTTTGATGTTGTCAATGAGGATGTCCCGCATTTTGCATGTTTCTGTTCTCAGTAAACTTAGTTTTTACACATTGAACTTTTTACACATTGTCCTAAATCTCTGATGACCGACATGTTACTTTATATACTGTTAGAAATAAGTAGGGCATTTGTCACAGCTATTGCTATAATGTATCTTCAATGAGATATTTTAACGGTGTAACAGGGACATCAGACTGAGGTCGAACGTTGAACGTTAGATGATTTTGTGAGATGATAGGCCAAAGCCCCATTACTATGAAAAGACATTTATATGAATCCGCCTCTGTCCAATGTCAAACACCCAGTGTCAGCTTGGTTCATTCCATATCATTCTTCCTGCAGGACAACGCCAAGTACGTTGAGAATAGTAGGTGTGTTTGACGGTGACGTACGCAGACAGTAATCCTTCGTTCACCTGAAAACGTTTTCTCAAAAGCGATTGGTTTTGCAATAATGTGACGGTTGGTCAATCGTGGAATAACTTCTTCCATCTGTATATCCGATCACGAATAGTTTGTACATTCACTCTATCACCTATAACTATCACATAGAAGCTCATCTACAAATTGAGAGGCATATTGCCACGGTTTCATAAACACAATCGCTCCGGTGAAACGGTCTTGTTCGCCAGTCGTCACCCAGATGGACGTCTATCATCAATGTTATATGAATGTCTAATTGTAATCTGCAGATAACTGACTGTTAAACGTTTGGAGCCGGTGCCACAATGCTCTGTCTTGTTTCAACTTCCAACATACCATTTGCACGTCCCTGACGTGAGAAACGCATCATGTAAAAAGGTGTATATAACAATATCGGAACAACAGTCTGTTTAATCACTGAAATGTACAGCAACATTGACACGTTTCAATGTAAATACCAAATAATTACATGCACATCAAGAACGATTGCAGTGTCTCATGTGGCATAAGTGATTGTAGAATATAAATTTTAAAAATGAAATGTTTTGACATTCCTAATATAAAACAAACCTAAAGCAAAGCCTTGAAAGTTTTGAGAATAAACATGCCATCATTTCCAAATGTCTCAGGTAGTTTCTGTGAATTCAATGACTGAGACTGAGTGATTACCTGTGAGACAGAAATGTGGTGTTACATTTAATGGGGATATGTAGAAGCTTTAAAATCTAGTGCAAAAGTGTTTGCGAGATGATAGCAGTGATTTATGTTTCAGGATTATGTTTTCTTAGTGTACATGCTGGCGTTATGGCTTGATTTACTAGTATGTATGTCACTTGTATAAGTTCTTTAAAAAACAATTGACGCATTGGTCAATGCATATGTGGCCACGCTTGGAAGTGGGAACTGCTACACACTATTCGTGTAAGACTTCTGATGACAGTTGGCTGGGACAGAATAGATAGCATCCCAATTACCTTTAATAATGTTTAGTTTGAGTCGTATACCATTAACAATGTCACGCACTGACTTCACCGACTCTGGAAGACATTCCACATGTTCCTCTTTCCCTTTGGCCCATAATAAAAGCAATACATACAATCCGTACTGTTTTCGTACTGTCTATCAGCAAAAGGTGTTTGAGTCATTTGATTACTTACAACGTCACTGAGAAAAGTGTTTTTACTTTGTTCAGTCCGAGTGGCAACAAATCTTTCAAATGAATGGTATCATGTCGATCTTTCTTGCGCCACGGGTGCGTCGATGTGTCTTTGAGATGCTGACTTTGATGTTGGCAGTTCGTTGTCAGGAAAGACTGCGATTTGTTTATATTGCCATTACAGCCCTCACGTGGGATTGCTGCACACTGCAGTGAATCAAATCAGTTTCTCTGGACACCCTATGAGGACGACTGCATTTAAGGCTATCAGATAAATGGTATATTTGATTTGATGCAGTTGGAAACATTTCTGTTGCTGCCCCGGAGTAAGTGACTGTGTCTAAGTGACTGACTTACGTTCCAGCAATAACACTAAGTGGGGAAACGCAATGCAGACGGATTTCTAAAAACAATGTTGTTGGTGTGATGCTTCTGGGTACCCGGTTTGGTCATTCACTTGGCTACCACTTAGTACTATGTATGATATGGACTAGTAATATCAGCCCATCACGTGGCTTTGTTGTTTTAAGATTCTGTCTTTGCTCTTATATAAACGTTTCTCCTGTCACGAACTTTGAAGGCTATATCATGTTCTTGAAGATGGCCAGTTTAAGAGGTGACCGATCTTCAATCTATAAAGTCCTTCTATACCTGATACTAAACATAGGAATATGGATTCACCTGCGCTTTGCAAACTGATGCCCCCAAATATCCCCAATAGTATGATCAAGGGCATCTTTTGTTCACTTGTCGTGCCTTATGCTATCAGTTAGGCGAGCCAGAAGCCAACGGCTGTGAGTTTGAATCTCGGTTTGCCGTAATTAGGATTCAAGGATTTGCAGAACCACATTTATGCTGGCACAAAGCAGTCATCCATGGCTTACATCACTCCGGGCTTCCCTCCATCATGAAGCTGACACACCGAGATGAAACTGAAATACTGTTCAAATCGGCGCTAGGCAAGCTCACTCACATATTCATTCATTCATTCATTCATTCATTCATTCATTCATTCACAACCGCCACCAACTTGTTTTGTGTGATTTGAAAGTCACCTGAGAAACTTGAACCAATATGGAGTCCCGGTAAGTCTTTGCTGCCCGAGGTGTTGTTCAGTGAGGAGAGCCAAGTAAAATGTACTGACACACAGACCTTAATCACCTCCAGGCAGCTTGGTCTTCAGTGGGTGGAATTTACTTTGGAACTAGGTCAACGCATGTCGCAAGAGACTTCTTTGCTTTTGTTCAATATTATGTCTCTATTTATTTGGACCAAAATAAACTTTTTCTGTACACCTTTTTTATCAAGCCAACAACCTGGATTTTTTCAACATCGCCCATCATTTGCCACGACATCTGGCGACTCAGTGATTTCTGTGGTATATTGATCAGTAGTCTAGTACTCTCCAAGTATTATAAAGGATAGCGGAATAGCGTTAGGCCTGGCTTACCTTCCAGGCATTATCCTTACACATCTGTGAATATTTGTCCTCTGCTTCCTTGTTTGTCGTTTAAAGCTGAATGAGGCGATCGAGTCTGGATCAAGCAGCCCAGTGACTGACATTATGAGCATCGGTCTACACAACTGCCGTACGATGACATGCAATGAGGTCATCAAACCTGACAAGCCGATCCATTTAATTGCTGCATATGACAAAGATAGATGCTGGAGTCGATTCTTATCAAATATGCTCATGAGACAGCCACGTTTCTCTGAAATCGCTCCGAGAGGCACACATGTTAAAAAGCGATTGAGTAGCCTAGTAGTTAAAGCGTTCAAAGAACCGAGTTCGATTCCCCAAATGGGTACAGTGTGAAGACCATCTGTGGTGTCCATGTTCTTGACGTTGTCGGAATATTGCTAATATAGTGCTGAAAGCGCTTTAAAACCATACACATGTTAATTTGTTTTGAGCGATATTGAATGACACAATGACCATAATGCGCCATAATTTTAACAATGTGATTTTCAAAGCAAAATGTTGTTTAGTTCTTGCATGATATATTCTAATGACAATCCAAATTTAAATAATAGGCGGTAAAGGAGAACTTTCATCTGACTGACATTGCCATCAGGACAAAATTCTCGTCCGTCATTTTCTATTTTAACATATGGTTCTTTTGTTTCAGAGTTGGCCAGGTATTCTGTGGTAAGTTGAGAATTAGTTTTATTATCAAGTTGGAAGGAAATTACTACAATTACGTCATATTACTAACATTACATCATACTCTGAGTCACTTACATCATCCCCTTGTGCCTCATCAGATTTCGAAAATCAGAGTTGCAAGAGCTCCCGCGTATATGGAATCACAAATTCCCAATTATTCTACGTGTTGATATGAATTGTCTGCAATTCACTTAAGTTTGTTCCTATGAGACAAAAGATCTCAACAGTCATACCTTTCCCACAAACCTACACACATCTGTACATTAAGAAGGACAAGCCCACACATATCACATCCCAATAAATAATGAGTCACTTCAGTTTCTGTTTTAGTCAATGCGACACTTGGCCGCTTAGGACCAAGAAAAACATTCTCTTGGCGCATAATATTACCAGATTATACCTAGCAACTTACACATTAAAACTGTATCAAATCAAATGTCACGCATATCTCAAAAACCGACACGTCTCGACTATTTTCTGTAAGTAAATCAGAAGGATTTTTTCATGTTGCTGATTTCATTTGAATTCCCAGTTTGAAACCTTTTTCTCATTCATATTGATCTTATCCAATTACATATGTTACTATTTTATAAACACTCCCAGTTTCTTTCCTTATATTCTCTGTACACTACGTCATATATCTGACGATTGCGATTATTAACAAACATTATACAATAACCACCGACTTGGGAAAGGGGATTGCCATTTGCGGATTGATGAAATGGGTTTACTGTGGCATACCGTACCGGAAAGAAAGGGACAACGAATAAGAGTCTTTTTTTGCCTATTAGTTTTGTATAATTCACAGAAAATGTAATTTTAGTAGTCGTATGATTTAGAAGTATCTTTTATGTAAGTGACAAATGCACCAGAGAAACTATATTTTTATTGTGTAGGTTATCATAAAATTTATCATTTATAATTCATATCCTATTACTGACCAATATGCCTTATCGTAAATGTGTAATTTGAGGAAACCACCTAGTTGATGATCGGTGTGATGGTCTGTTGGGGTTCGGTAGAAGCATTCACACTTCACACCGAAAGTCCAAGTTCTGTTCCCGAAATGGACACAATATACCCCGCACCCCACTTTTCTTCTTTCCTTCAATCCAGCATCTTGGACTACATGGACAACCACACCGGCGTCCGCCTGTGGAGCAACATGCGGTACGGGAACAACGACCCAAAATCGGACTCGACAATGCAACCCAGGTTTCGGTAGCCCTTCGCCAAGTCCCCCAGCTGGCTGTAGGTTTGCTCAACTGGAAGTGACTACCAGAGCCTGCAATACTGGTGTTCCTTGTACAGGCTGTGAGTAGCTCCTTGTCCCATTTCATTGGTAAATACGTGAGACCAATTATGTGTAACCTTTTAATCTACCAGTATTGGCAAACGCACAATATATCTTTTACTTGAACAGTCTTTAAATACAGGAACTCTGTGTCAGATTTTCCATTGCATGTTCCTTTCTTGTATTCAGACTCTCTTGTGACATCATGATGCAGTCATATTAAAACTGGTTTATAAGTTAATTCTGCTTGAAATATACTGTTAAAATTTAGATTGATCCAAATTCGTACACATCAATATAAAGCCAGTAGATAAGGACCGAAGGACGTAAATGCAATACATACTTCTGGTTTGATTTTATATTTGTTATGTTACGAGATTCACTGTTATTGTTGTTTCAGTATGTTTATTTACTTCAGTTAGATAGAATGAAATAGTTTTTCATTATCATATGCGATAACATTTCCATGACATTCAGAAGTAACTGATAGTGACTGGTCAAGTAACATAACAACGTATGGTGTGGATTTACAACTTCTTTAATATTGATCATTCACCTGATGAAGGGGCAAGAACTAGCCCAGAAACGTCGCGTTGGTAATATTAAAGAAGTTGTAAATCAATACCATACGCTGTTATGTTACCTTCCAACTTCCAAATTCCCACCAAGCATCTGACTGGTCAAGTAATAAATCACGCTTACATATATCTGATTAAAGCTTGAAATTAAAATTGTAACAGAAAATTTCACGTTACAAGTACGGTACCATAGTTTCACATGGTAAGCACAACATGATCACATCACTACCTGACTTCAGTGGTTGGGACATGGGGAGCTTGGGCGAATGAAGGCCTCTGCAGCACGTACTGCGGTAATGGTGGTACACAGACACAGAGGAGGACGCGGACTTGCACCCCAGCAGGCCAATGCAGTCAGTCCCTGGTAGAGCGAAGGGAGGTTTTTTGCACAAGAACTGCATTTCAGCTGAGATCCTGTTTCAGGTTTGGAGGTGTGTATGTAATATAATTATCAAATGCCTTCAACTTTTATTACGGGGTGGTGAGGGGACCCAGTGGTTCGCCCTTGACGCCGGAGACACGGGTTCGATTCACAATATGGGCATAATGTGTGAAGCCCATTTCTGATTTTTCGTGATATTGCTGGAAAATTGAGACACCAGAAATGGGCTACACACATTGTACCCATGTGGGGAATCGAACCCGGGTCTTCGGCGTGACGAGTGAACACTTTAACCACAATGCTACCCCATCGCCCAAGGAGTAGAGGAAGTGACCTGTTATATATTAAACAAACATATTCATCACATATTCGTTGACCTGTGAACACTAAGGCTTGGCCGAGATGGTTCAATCTGACTACCCTTCTATGATCCCTGATTTCGTACCGTTTAACACCCACGCGCAAACTGTGAAGACCATGTTTTCATGTTTTTCATATTCCCTGTAATATTGTTTTAATACAAAAAATCATACTCATTAACCCCCTTAGGAGTAGGTATCCATCTCGCGAACACATGTCGCATATTATGGGCTTATACAATGTAAATGGTAGATCTACCGTGCCCAAGTAGGCCCTTATGTAGCAGAGCATGGTTCTTGCATTTCTTTTTGTTTTCACACCGTGGTCAGTGATTGTCAAAGTGTGTCATCTATATTCAATTCTATTAAAGGCAAACTAAAATGGACAAAACTACTCCGATATGTGTAAATTACATACACCATGCAATTTCCGAGACAGCAAAAAATAAAATTTTCGTGGAAAATATTTAAATGTTCAAATAAAAATGCTGAAATACTTAATCGACTTCCAAATCAAACCTAAGGGTACTGTCGCGCTGGTGCAGTAGTGATTGACGAAGGTTTTCATACGTTATTCTTAACAGCTTTACATATACTGTCCCCAAATTTACTATTTCTTATACTGTTTAGGGAGAGGTGTTCACTTAAGCTAATATCTTGTTCACCGATCCCTATTCAATTTTGTTTGAATAAAAAATTGTTTAAACCACATATACCGTCCCCGCTATCTGTGTTAATGCTAAAAAATTAAAACACTCTGTACAAATAACTGTCAAAACCAAAGAAGGGACTTCAAAAGACAGAACAGAAGGCGGTAGAAGTAAAGTGTTTCATTATTCTGTCTTGCTTCATTCCAATTAGCATGACGTTTTGCCTTGTTGCATTTAGTCCACAGAAGATTGTTTCCGCCACAGATCACTGCGGGTAAAACACATGTTGCGTACGTTTGAAATGTCTGTGAATATGGTTATAGTGACCTCTCCCTTCTGTTCTACATATTTCTTTATTTCAGCTGCTACATGTGAAGGTCGCGGCTTCCAAACATTCCTGTATGACTACATTATCCCGTTCTTCAACCTGTGTGTCAATGGCCGCTATGAGCAGGTGCGCTGCCCTGCCAACCGCTTTGGCCTGGTGTCCACGTGTGGTCAAGATGTTCTCAGGTGCAACCTTTACAGAATAGTGGAATTTTTGTGTCTATTCAGGGGGTGATATTTGACTGTGTAAGGTTGATGATGAATAAAAAAGTTCAACCTATCAATCACATGGCTCTATTTGCTACGTATGTAGCTTTCCGGGTATAATGGTATACATGCCCTGTCACAAGTCGCTGAGAGCCGTCGGTGGAACAGATCAGACATGGCTGTCTCTTGTCCACAGTTCGATTACTCCAAACACCACTACCCCTCGACGCAGTCACAAAGAGGAACCTGAATTTTCATATATGTTCCTGATCACATGGTGAGTGGGTGAGTTTTAGTTTTACGCCGCTTTTAGCAATATTCCAGCAATATCACGGCCGAGAATACCAGAAATGGGCTTCACACATTGTACCCGTGTGGGGAATCGAACCTTGGTCTTCGGCGTGACGAGCGAACGCTTTAACCACTAGGATACCCCACCACCCCTGAACACATGGTAATAGCGCAACTAATTCGTCACATGTCCAATACTACCTTGCCTTAAGGTCCTCCATATAACTTAGTAGTGCCAAGATACCATCCCATCGTATCGGTCATATAACGTACAGGTGCCAAATACATCAAGTTGTTGACTATTTATTTAAGTCCTCCTTGGCTCCATCACGATTTTTATCTCCCGAAATATTGCTGTTTGACTGCATCCCCACGAACAGCATTCCGCATCAAACGTCGATTGACACTACACCAAACGTGTAAAGAAATGGACATTATTCTACCTTCCTGTTTCTCACCTGTGAAGATCCGGGTTAGAATTGGTCTTCAGAAACCGACGCTTGTCGTAAGACGCGACTAACGGGATTGAATGGTCAGTTTCGCTGACTTAGTTGACACATGTCATCGTATCCCAATTACGTAGATCAATGTTGATGATTTTGATCACTGGATTGTCTAATCCAGACTGATTTTACAGACCGCCGCCGTATAGCTGGAATATTGCCGAGTGCGGCGTAAAACTAAACTCTCACTATTATACAATGTGAACGGTAGATCTACCTTTCACAGTAAGGACCCCATATGGCAGAGAATGTTTGCCAAAAATGTTTGTTCTCACGCCGTGATCAATGATTGTCTTACTGTTTCATGATATAACATCAGTTGTATTAAAGGCAAACTGAAATGGACATAAATACTGCGATGTATGTAGATGACATACACTATGCAATTTCCGAGACAACCAACAATAGCAAACCAACCAATCAACCAACCATCCCGTTTCTATGAAAACATTTGAAAGTCCCCGCATTACAAGAAATATAACGCCAGTTGAAGTCAACAAGTCAAGACATAATCAAGCATTTAAGTTGGAATGTCTAAATGCAACTGATCATTGCAAGATTTGTTCACACGAACGAGACACGTGTTAATGATATTTGACACAAACAGATAAGAGTCTGAGAGTACAGTATTTCATTTAGATATACCTTTAGTGCTTCCCTCAGCAAGTTCTTGATTTAAATCTCCATGTTTAATTGTCTCCTTGACCTCCTCAATCATATGACTCATATCTCGGAACATGTCCCGAGTCGACACAGTAATCGTTCGTTACTTCTCCGCGATAAATCTGTTGAATGAAATATCAGTTTTTGTATACGTTCCGATTCTTCATGCCAGTCGTATAAATATATCAACATTTTCATCCTGGAAGTATGTATCAAGTGCCACCACAACATACTGCAAAACAACAATATAGTCACACTGTCATACTGCCATACCTCCACACAGTTACATAACACAGACACATAATTACATAGTCACACTTTCATACTGCCATACCTCCACACAGTTACATAACACAGACACATAATTACATAGTCACACTGTCATACAGCCATACTTCCACACAGTTACATAACACAGACACATAATTACATAGTCACACTGTCATACAGCCATAACTCCACACAGTTACATAACACAGACACATAATTACATAGTCACACTGTCATACAGCCATACCTCCACACGGTTACATAACACAGACACATAATTACATAGTCACACTGTCATACTGCCATACCTCCACACAGTTACATAACACAGACACATAATTACATAGTCACACTGTCATACAACCATACCTCCACACGGTTACATAACACAGACACATAATTACATAGTCACACTTTCATACAGCCATACCTCCTCAACAGAAACGCTTTCATAGTCGCACACCAATCAGTCACACAAACATATACTACCACTCAGCTTCACAGTCACATTACCACACTGTCGTACCTCAACAAAGTCATAGGACAACAGGACAGCCTCTGTGGTGTAGTGGTTAGATCGTGCGCCCGAAGAACGGAAGGTCGCGGGTTCCATCCCCGACCGCGCCATACCAAAAGACGTTAAGATATGGTTCTTGTTGGTCCCTGACTGGCGCTCGGCATTAATGGGTACAACAAGGACTGGTCGGCTCGGAGTCAGTATAATGTGTCTGGGTTGGGTATTCATGCTAAACTGCGGTATGGTATCTCAGTGAGCTATAAGTCTGGGCTAGTACAAGCAGCCACACACACACACGCATGCACGTCTTCATATGAGCGAAATATTCTCAAGCACGACTATTCTCAACCCAATTTCACCAAACCTCACCTATCTCACCTCACAGGACTACACATAACTACAGTCATCCTATCACACAGCCTCACCTTCATACGGTCAGTCATATACTGCCACACAACATAGTAACATTATAAATTAGTTTGAGTGGACATTAGGCTCACTCCTTGTAACAGAGCAGGGATAATGCGACTTCATCATGAATAAATGGCTCTGACGTTCTTGACGTCATTTTAAAGCCGCTTCAGTTAGTGATGGCTGACGTGAATTTTACTGTCATGTGTGATTGCTTGCTGCTTTAACTGGCGTAAGATAGATGAACCAGTACACCATCATAACAGTTATATGAGTTAGAAGTCCACCGATGGTTTTCAAACAAATGTATGCTTATAACTGTAACATTCACAGCTTTATATAAACTGGTATTTCCTTCTAGATTATCATCTTAGTTGATGTGTATTTCTGGAATGCCACCTTTGACATTGAGGTAAATCTCTTCTGGCAAAGATTTGCCGTTGATATCAATAACGACATGGCGCTGGTGTTAGACGGTTGGGATAGCTGCTAGTTAAAACGTTCCCTCGTCATTCCGAAGCAGCCTCACGTGGATACAACGTGTGGAGATCATTACCGACGTCTGTCTCCATGACGATATGACGGAATGTTAATGGAAATTAAGTGAAACCACGCTCACTCACTCACTCGCGAATTTACTCACTGGCTAACGCAGTTCTGCCATACATTACGGTCGCTTTAACCACTGACAGAACGACAGCAAAGTAGTATAATCCCGATATAACTTTTATGGTTTTAAAACTTTTTTATTCCATTATGCTAAATTTGCAGATATTTGAGAGAATTTGACATTTTAAGTGGAAGGATGTCTTCACGTCAACTGTCTGTTCTCACACAGGACAAATGCTTCACTTCTGATTCAAGCAAATGGTTCAGTCCTGTGCTCTGTTGTGTACATAATAAAAACAGCAACCCATATTCTGTTCCACCTTTGTTCTCTTCTCCTGAAGCTGGCAATTGTCCTACATGATACCAGCACACAAACACACACGCACACACGCACACAGGCACGCACGCTCACAGTGTTACTTGTCTATTTCCTAATTTTCTTAACGTAAAAGAATTTAGTGTGAAACCACACAATTAACAAATGTATTTAAAATTAACTCGATTAAAAATATACATCAAAATTAGTGCATAGGAATTACAATGATGATACTCAATAGAGTGGCCATACAAATACAGAGGAAGTAGGAATCTGAATAGCAGTGTTATGGTATTTTGTTCTTATTCATTTCGAAGCAACAGTTTCAGATCAGGCTAAGGCTGGATATTCAGGGAAAACATATCGATCTTTACAGAATACTGGTCACGTTCCCATGATGGATGATAGAAGCAAGCACGTCCCACTTCCAGGAATATCTTTACTAAGGTGGAAGCTACCAAATCACTTAATATAGTTACAGGAAGCCACTGCCCTCAACTGAATCTTAAGAGAAACAGCACTGTTTTACAATTACACTGACACATAACATAATAACATGTATCTTTACAAAATATACTAGAAATAATATAGACGATTGATGTTGCTTTATCTGAAAATGAAGTTAGGTGTACAAATAAACTGGATTGCATCTTTTCTGCATTTTCTTATCTTGTGGCCAGGAAATGGTAGCATTCAGTCATATATACGTTATGGGCTTCTACTTCTTTAATAACTTATTGGTGCGTGATTGGTGCGTGATTGGTGCGGTGGGATAGCTCAATCACTCACTCACTCACTTAATGTAATGGGGAAGGGGGTGTCAAACATTTGTATGGTGACTCTTTCACATGTCACGGTGTGCTCAGCCCAAAATATTACGGCTGTCAACGCACGGCGTGTTAGTCATACACGGCGTGTGCGTCAGACCCTGACGCACAAACATCCTAAACATCCCGGCTTGTCTGGATTTCTTCAGTCTCAAAATTAACATACTCTTTGTGTTCCCTTTGATCATATATTGCGTTTTTCTTAAAATAGATTCATTTTCTTAATAGTCTCCCAGTTTCTTCTCAAAGATCGTGCAATTGTATCTAATATATTAGAAAATATGCGTGTTCGTGAGCGTAGATTCTTTTCTCTAGCGCCTGAGGTCATACTTATTTTCAGTCATCCATTCATATCGCTTTCATCACACTGCGTCTTACGCCCAGCGGAATCCTTAGATACTCGAGCCTGACTGGTCTGGCGTTGACGTCTTCAATCAGGACTCGCCAATCACATGTACTGAATCAAATGTAGCATATACAAGTACATGAAATAAACCCTCTTGTAAACCCTCTTGTAACCCTCTTTGTTCGTTTCAACTTCAGTAACTATTCCTCGTTAATCATGTCGTCAAGTAATCAAGTGGAAAGTTTCTAACCTTGCTTCACAGATTCGGGCACGGAGGATTCAAAAGCAAACTAGAATGTTGATGACAGTACATGTTATCGTACAACGATCTTCGTTCTGGTTTCAACCATGTCTTGGTTTGCCAGATCCAGAATCGATCCATCGTCAAAATATAGAGAGTAGAGGAAACTAGCATTCACTCAATAATGGTAGTAGTTCGTAATATAACAATTCTGGTTTAGTATCTTTGAATACTGCTTATCGTGGGATCAAACAGTTCTTGTACATATAACTGTAGGTTCATCGTATTTGTTGTTCGTGAACACATGATATTTTATTTATGAATGAAAACTGTGATAGGAGTCTGATAAACTATATGCCTTGATCAGAGGAGCTTCCTTTGCGCAGTATTCAAGCTGCATGCATGTATTATTAGGATGGATATGTTGGATGGTATAGAGACAGATAGGTAAACTCACGGGCAAAAGAAACGCCACCAGTTTCAAACAATACAGTCATCATAAACGATGGTACCCTTAACGTTTTACCTACACGAACAATAACAGGTGTGAACAGACAAAAGAAGAAAAGGCTTTCTTTAATTGTTCTGTAGACACGTTTTACTGATCACTGTTGCAAAACATAACACTGAAGCATCAAATTTAACTGACCAGACTTCGATGCTAGCCCTAATGTGTGTATGTGTGTTGTGTTTGTGTGTGTTTTTGTGTGTGTGTCTTTGTGTGTTTTGTCTTAACGGTTTGTAAATATATAGCAATGTTGTTTTCTTAACATGTTAGTGGAACTAATATATTTGACAATTTGTTAACAAAGCCTATTGTAATTCCTCAAAAATGCTTCATTTTAATAAAATCCTTTCACACATCACTCACCGACAAAAAAGCACACAGCGAAAAAATGTCGATCGAGGTTGCAAGGGACATCCTCGTACTACAACAAGCACTCCTTTTATTGCCTGTAGCTTTGAAACAAAAAATGTGAATCGTGTAAATCCCCAAAGATTGAGAACGTTCTCTAGTCTGAAGCTCGGTTTATTTTGTCATCTGATGGTAAACTGTGAGCGAAAGTTCAACATTTCAATGAGAGCTGGCCAGCAGATAGACATGTGTCTTGTTATCAATGCCAGAAGCTTAACTTAAAACTTTGTACAAATTCAACAATTCTCTTTCCCGTCATATTTAAACTTACGAAACAATACGTATTTGTTACATTGCCTGATGAAAGTTAGTGGGAGCAATGAATGTGTGTATTCATTGGTCGGTAAGGAAGGGGAATCCATTTGGAATAGATATACTCATGGAAACGAATAAGGGGACACCTGAAAGTACAAGTGTTCCTTTATTCTTTTCCAGGTTTCTTCACAAGTTTGTATTGCACTGTGGGTGAAATTCTGGGAAAGAATAAAGAAACACTTATACTTTCAGGTGTTCCCTTATTCATTCCCATGAGTACTTGTATATAGTTTACTTAGTTTATCTTCTAAAAGTAAAATAAGCATAAAGACTATTGAGTATCATGTGTAATACGACAAATAACTAAATTAAAGTAACCGCGAACTGATCTGTAATCAGAAAGATGCACTGCGCGATGTTATAGGACGTGGTGTGATTGATCAAAGTTTTTGCTTCTTTTTAACGATGAGTTGTAGCTGTAAAAGTATGTTCTCGTTGAACAAATCAATTGCTCAATTCTACTGGTTTTACGCTAAGCTTGTGAAGGATAACACCAAGCTAGACGCTGACATCGTATTCTCATACAAACACGTGTCAGTGATGATTTCACTGATGCTGAGGTTCTAACACAACAATCGCATGAACTTAACTTCATGCGCGAAACACATGAAAGGTGCAATGGTGTCCAACGTTTATAAAATGTGCTAGAGGACATATGAATTGCTATACAGAAAAAAAACTACACACACACACACATGTATGCATACACATGCACACGCGCGCACACACACGCGCACACACACGCACGCGCACGCACACACACACACACGGTGTGCTGATGGGCGTGGCCAAGACTGGATGTTCTTTTGTTCTGACATTCTATATCACAGACGCTTTCCAACAGAAAAACCTATGTTAAATTTTGATTTGACAGTTTGATGCATAACCTTCGTCGGTGCAAACGATTTGCTTGAAAAGTGTCGAAAACATGTCCAATCATTATAAAGGCAAGGCCCTATTTTTAGCCTCTGAAGTAATAGCATGCCTTTAAGAACCCTTCACGACTTGAAAACACGGAAGGCCAGACAAAACTGTGACCGAAAGTATGATCAATGGACTGTTTGTGTTTCAGCAAGCAAGTCATTCAACCTGATTGACAGCACCACACCGCTGTCTACATAAAACGTCAGTGCATAATGCTATGAACATGTTAAATGCACAACAGACAAAATTAATGTCCGTGTGTGGTGTAATAAAAGGCGATATGATAAAACTCCGGATTAAACTTAGTAACACGTCATAAAAGTGACGTATATTACACGTGTTCCCATACCTATGATTGGTTTAAATTGCAGAATAAGTAGTTCGAGAGCTGAGACGCTCTAAATTGGAGAAGCGTTCCCCAGGACTTGCCTTTCGTGGTTTCAAATAGAGGAGTTACAAACACAAGGAAGCACACACTCGCACGCCCATTTCGCTCTGTAACTTCATTATTCTTGAAGCAACTTTAAACTTTACTTCAACTCTACTAACCTAATACTGTGTATGTAAAATAGTAGTGTATGGTGGCCCACATTACATATGACTCTGCATGTGTCGGTCATGTGTCCCACCGTTGAGGCAGAATACGCATACCTTTCTTTAAACACCTGTTAAAATCATTACTTAACTATTCTCATAAACATATGCAGTTGTAATAGTAAACTTGACTGTTTATAGCAGTGGTTTCTTAAGATTATGGCATTATTTTAGTGAAATAGATGTTGTCGTTGTTTCTCTTAACATATGTATTCATCTTCATTGATTTGGATAAAGAATAACAGTTACTAATATTTCATATACCGACAGTAAGCTCCTTTGGTAACGAGCACAAAAGAAATACATATATTAAGAACTGTTGATTTGTTCCGACGACTTGCTCTTAGTAGACTATATTTCTGTCGAAATGTGTGTGCATATTCAAGCTAAAATGTGATCTAACAGTAAAGTTTCGACCTTTTTTCATTTAATGTTTATTTAAGCAAATACTTCTGATGAGAGACATGGGGCACAATGGCACCAGTTCTAAGATGAGTCTATGAGGATGAATTGATCCATGGTATCGATCAATGAATTGTTGCGGTGTTTACAAAGAACGATAGGTGGCAGGCTCTAACAATACTAAGTAAAGACACGCAATGGATTTTTTCTTACGAATTCATATAGACAGCTCGTTACCGTGAGGTATTCGTATTGTGATCAGACGGGTGATCATGCTATTTAACAATTTCTAGAAATTGTGGAAATACCTGATAATGCTAATTAAAATACATAAAATGCTACAGGCGTGTTTTTTTCTGCTATGTTTGTCTCCGTGACAGTTGCTGTCTGAATGCAAGTCGCGTGTGTCACGTACATGAAGCATGAAACCTTGCATGTGAAGTGTACGCCAATCTAGACCATTGTACAGGGTTGACTTCTTCCTCCTATTCCATCAGTTAATCGTGTATCAGACAGACAATGATATATGACAGATTGATACTATCTTCCATTAAACTGACAACTGCAAATTAAAACCTATAGTCTGTTCAAGAAATTTTAATGTATTTAGGGAATCGTTTTTCATTATATATTTAGAAAATAATTTCAGTGTCTTGTGTCGGAAATCTACTTGTCAGCTGTTTGTTTCAATATCTAACACATTATTGTTTTGACAGTTAGTGGCACACTGGATCTTAAACAGAAACAAATGATTTTTTTCTGATGATACAGATATTTTAACACTTCTTTTTAGGACGGATGTCTTTTGTAGAATCATAGTATTTCGAAATGGGTTATACAACGGTCCGGACACCTACTTTTAATCCACGTGAGCTGCAGAACATTTCACTTCTGATTCTACCACCGGTTACCCGCAACGATGGAGACGACACACTGCATGTGGAGACTTCTAGTTTTAGTGTCTGTTGGAAGTAAGTATTTTGAACTTATATTTAATGTGTTATAGTGAGTGAGTGAGTTTAGTTTTACGCTGCTTTTAGCAATATTCAAGCAATATCACGGCGGGGTCACCAGAAATTGGCTTCACACATTGTACCCATGTGGGGAATCGAACCCGGGTCTTCGGAGTGACGAGCGAACGCTTTAACCACTAGGCTACCTCACCTCACTTAATGTGTTATAGGCAACGAAAACAAAAGGATCAAATTCCAAGGAGACTCCGATGTTTAAAACTGGTCCTATGTTTGTTTGTTTGTTTGTTTGTGTGGGTTGTTTAACGCCGCGCGCAGCAATACTCCAACTGTATAACAGGATGACCATCGATCTACGCATTTGGGATACCAAGTCGGCGAACCTGACCACCCGTTACGACAAGCATGGGTTGCTGAAGACCAATTTCTAACCCGGATCTAACCCGGTCGGTCCTATGTGTTCGGCTGTGAGGCTAAGGTGTCTGTAATTGAAAACTGAAATACTAGCTGCTAAATCTGATTATATCTTTTTATCTATTAACCACCACTAATGTCTGCGATAGTTTAAGAAAGGAAATTTGAGGCTGGTAATTTTGTACAAAATATATTTGCAAATATAGCATCGCAACCATTCCGAAAAAGGTTGATTTGATTATCTTTAAAGATAAGACTTCTGAGACGCAGCAATTGAGTATTGCGCGAATTTAGTTTCTTTCATTTTGAAAGGTTGTACATCTAAATTAAAAAGAAGACCCTAGTAGAAGTAATGTGCGCGTGCTGACAAAGCACCAGTACAATTTTTTCTTGTGACAATTTTCATAATTTATACATCATTTGACGGTGTCATGAACTTAGTTATTGTCATTGATATGCTTTAGAATTAATTAATATAACATCTGAACAGAATTATTGTAATATCTTAAATAACTCAAAACGCCTAAAGTAGCAGTAATAGGTTCCATCAAGTCTGAACGATTTAACGTTGACTAATACTGCGAAATGGATGCATGCATGGGTGTATGTCTCTGCGTTGCGATTTGTTCAAGATACCACTGGGATACGGCAACATGAAGTTATAAACGGATTTGGGATTGGGGATTGAGGATTCGAATCCCGAATCTGAATATTTTTTTCACATTCAGGATTCGAATCCCAAATCTGATTTTTTTTTCATATTCGGGTTTTATCTTTTGCACATACGGCGTCCTTGTAACTATAATCTTTGCACCTTAATCTTATCTATCCTCGACGTTGCCATGCACCCTGGAGATAGTTAACGGTCCTGAAGCACTTCCCTGATTGCAGGCATTAACCCTCGATGACGATCAAAGAAATGCAAACAAGGGTAATATTCATTATTTCATCCCCGTTCTTATGTACCAGGTGCTCGTTGTATACCTGGGTAACTTATAAACATAAACAACCAAACTACGGTTTCCAATATTTGAACCTCAAATCTGAGTTTTCTCAACAGAATCCCGAATCTGGATATTTTTTCCATATTCGGATTTCAAATCCCGAATCTGAATATTTTTGCCTGTTTATATTTTGTATTATCCAAATAGTCCCACCAGTTTTAACTTTCCACACTAGTTTTAGTTCTTATTGTGATATTCTAGTTGTTTTACTGTCCTTTGACGACAGGTTTATATAATATACACATGTATATGTCAAATATGTTATCGGTTCCCCATTGCGAAGATCGATGCTCATGCTGTTGATCACTGGGTTGTCTGGTCCAGACTCGATTATTTACAGACCGCCGCTATATGTCTGGCATATTGATGAGTGCGGCGTAAAACTAAACTCACTCACTCGCTCACCAAATGTTTTAATGAAATGCATAATAAGAGTTCAAATACCAAATACGAATGCAGAATGCCGAGTGTCGAGTGTGTGAAAACAATATTTCAGAGATTCGAATCCGAATACGAAAAAAAAAATTCTGGATGCAAATCCCGAATGTGAAAAAAAAATTCAGATTCGGGATTCGAATCCCCAATCCCAAATCCGATCCGTTTCTAACTTCATGTTCCCTGAATATCATGTCCATGCAAAAACATTTTCACAAAAGTGAGTGAAATTCTGTTTGCATCGTTGTGAATAAATTCTGCATTTCGAGGACCAAGAATTTGTCCGAGATGTCAGTGTTGCAGATTTGTTCCGATTTCATTGGTGCACCAACTGTGCATGGCTGTCTTGTTGAAAAGACCGTGGCAAGTCATAAGCATTGCCCTCGGTAAAATAACGTCCCCAAAATAAGATTAGTTGTAGCCATAAAATTATCATGTCTGGCAACTGATATTTCGAACTGTTTGAAGCACGGGTATCGGATCATAGTATGGAATACCAGACTACAAGACTAGATTGTATATTAAGATTATAATATATATTCTTTAATATATTATATTGTATAATAAGATTCTAGCAGATATATATATATATATATCCCTGACAGCTAAACAATCATTCTGTGTTGTTCACATTCACAATTACGTGGACTCGCATCATGATACTCACAACATCTAGACATCCAACTCGTGCGCCTTTCACCAACATTATTTCATTCCAGAATAGATAAATTTTAATCTTAAATTAATCTTAATTTTAAACTTTGTCCTTATATTTTTCGCCTGCATTTTTAGTTCTTTCCTTTGAAAAGTTATCTATTTTCTTTAATATGAACACGGTTATATTCAGCGAGTTGGGCTTATTTCCTCTTTGAGCAGCAATCAATTTCCACTTAAGGCATGTCAGCTAGATGTGGAAGTAACATCTGAAGTTGATGCTGTTTTAGACGTTTACCTATTTCGTGATAGCCACGACAAAGGGCATGGAGCTAAAAGACCTCGACACATAATAATGGAGAACCGAGATTCGAACGCACGATAAAAGGTTTCAGCCGTACAGCTAATTGAGGCACCTTAAACGACTAGGTCTACCCATGCGTCCAGTCATCAATATAAGTTAGATGATGTAACATACAGATATTTTACTAATATTCGGGTTTGAACATATGCTTGTCATGTGGGTTGACCAACGGGATATAATGGTTAGGATTGGTGACTTGTTTGATGCACTGCTTAGGTCGACATTCGTGAAGTGGAACAAAGGATCAAGACTCGGTTATTTACAGACCAAAGTTGCATGGCTGGAGCGTGGCTGAATGTGGCTTTAAACAGCATAACATACAAGTCCTTAACTGAGCGTTTACGGATTATACAAATTTACAAGTTTTTAGTTTGCTTTGTCGATGCCTGATTCCACTTTTACTTTTAAGACTGTAGGATTCGAGTAACGACAAAGATTGAACCCATTCATTAACATTTCAAAATAAATGATAGTTACATTAACTCCAAGTTTATATAAGTAACAATGAAGGGTCTGTTAGTAAAAATAACCGATCGTTTAAACAAAACATTGACATCAGAGATGCTTTAAGCTCATTTAAATAAAGATGTTCAGATATATAGATGATACTTAGATGATATTGTAGCAATATTCATACAGTATCACAGTGGTGGCCGCTAGGAATGGGTTCCTTCATTGTACCCAGGTAGGGAATCGAATCCGGATCTTCGGCGTGACTACTGCAGGCTTTGAACACTGGACTACCCAACCGCCCCCGGTGAATGATGGTGTTAGGAGTCTTTTAGCACTACTTATTTTAGCAATGTAAGGGACGAGGGACACCAGATATTAAAGGTGAACGCTTTAATCACTTGGCAACCACCGCCCCACCTATAGGATCAATACGCATGCTTATCCGTCTCATCTGATGAACCTTTTGAAATTCTTTCCTTGAGTGTCATTGACAAATGAACACACAACTAATGCATCAAAAGGCTAAATGCATAATGGGGGCTACAAATCTTTCATATGAAAAATAATACAGTGAAGAAAGTGAGCGATAATTGATTTACCATGACGTCAATATTAAACGAAAGCTGTAGCTCATTTGCCTGTCGTGGATGAGCCACTTGATTGATCATGAAGGATTAAAATCCACACCAACTTCCAACGCCCATGAGAGAGAGAGAGAGAGAGAAAGAAGAGAGAGAGAGAGAGAGAGAGAAAGAAAGGAGGAATGGAAGAAAGAAAGAAGGAGAGTGTATGGTTTCATGCTTTCAAGGTATCAAAAAGGCGATGGGGAAACGGATTGTTACGTGACTAAGTGTCGTTATGCCAATACATTTTGTCAGATTCCCACTAAGCAATGTGTGAAGCGTTTCGGGCATCCAGAGACATAATATATCTGAAATATTGTTCAAAACGGCGTTAACTCCAACAGTCACTCTTGACATCGACAAAACATGCAACACCTGCATTAAGTGAAACATAACGGTTCATCTAATTAATCTTTCTGTATACTTTACAGGTCTAACATCAGGCCAGTACTTCAGTTATGATTCTGATACCATGGATACCATGCAGGACATGGCGGAGGACAGACAAACCTACATGATGCATCAGAGGCTGTACGGGGGGACAGGTACCCAGTACAACACCCAAGGTTACTACGCTGCACAACAACGTCCGGCATATCAGTACAACTACCAGTCAGCTGGCCAAAACGCATACGGTACCAATGCGTACGGAACAAACAACAATGGGTACGGAAGAAACACCAACGCATACGTTCAACAAAACGGGGCATATGCCGGGTCTCAGAACAGAGGGTCTTACCAACGATCCCAGTCTTGGAACAACAACAATGGCGTCAATTCTCAACCTTCGAATTCTCCGGTTTCCACTCAGAATTACCTACAGAAAAACCAAGGTGGGTCGTTACAACAAGGTTCAGTGAACAGCCAAGGCTATCAACAACAAGCTTCCAATTCTGGAACGAATGGCCAACCATCTCAGTCGTTCAACAACAACCAACAGAGCCAGCAAATCCAAACCAAGTGTTCTCAGGTGATGCTCGACAGATCCAAAGGGAGACCTGCTGTGAACGTCCCCACCGCTGTCATCAGCATCACCCTCATCCAACAAACACAATGGAGTCAGTGCACCTCTGCTTCCTTTGGCTTTATTGGAAGATATGCTTATGTAGGCAATGGCTGTTCAGGGAACTTCAAGGTGTGTTATCAATAAGAAAAAACACCATGTGCATTGGGATTGTGAACTCATTGCCCGTGCTTCAGCATCTCATTGTTGGCAATGTTTGCGATTGCATCGTGCGCAAGATGAAGCCGGGCTGTATTAAGCGCAATGCCAAACTATACCTATAACATTCCATATGTGTTTGTTGGCGAAATAAAGGCACATTTCTGCTTTAATCCCAGAATAGTTAGTTATCATTGTATTGTTTTCACATTATAAATCATCTAAATAGTTATACACGTCAAGTTGACAAACTGAATATTTTAATAATAAGTTTAAAGTTAGAGCGATTAATAGGTGTTGCGATAAGATTTAGCGCAAAATTAATTTCTAATTGAAACCCTTTCTAACATCATTTTGACCATCTGTGGCTTGAGTGAATGAGTGAGTTTAGGTTTACGCCGCAGTCAGCAATATTCCAGCTATATGGCGGCGGTCTGTAAACAATCGAGTCTGAACCAGACAATCCAGTGATCAACAGCATGAGAATCGATCTACGAACTATGACTTGAGATAAGATACACGATTATGCTGTGTGTTCTAAACTGTCATTAAATGGCAGTACAATGATCAGCAATATATCACAGATTGACTAAGCTAGTTGTTGACCATTAGTCGGATGTTAGTTCAGCATATGGCTATGAGAAAAGTTAGAATAGAAATGAGCTTTAAATCGCCAGTAACAAAGGTAAAGGCATACCAGGACCGTGGGGGCTTATGGTATCACTGATACCTGCATGGTTAACAGGATTTACAATGTTCCTTATTACGTCTGTTGAAGGTTTAGCCGAAGATCAAAACTCAACAAATATTCTGCTGTTAAATCTATTGAGGTAGATATAAATATTCTTTGAAAGACGTGGTTCTACATACCTTCCCAGAGGGACAATTATTTACGCCATTTTGACTAAATGAGACGACACATTTTAATAGGGTGCTTCATTGATGATGGTTCGAAATATGTCTGGCGGTGACTCTCATCAAAAAGGATACAAATCTTAGGATCTTCACCTTTCAAGAAGTATCCATGCGTATATCCAGTATGACCCAATACGGCTTCGTCGTAGTATCACTTCTCTGGATCTGAGAACCGAAATACTGAGTGGTTGAGTTTTCATATAAAATTTCAAAGTCATTATGGCGACGAGATGAAGTTGTCACATTTACACGAGTCCATTATAAATACAACTTTATATTAAAAAGAAATGTGTTTAAGCTGTCACACATTTGAACATTACAGCATTATTTTAATCAATTTCAAAACACAACCACTCGAATTTAATAACAAAGGATTATCAGTTATACACATGCAGATTTACAATTAATGATACCGACTAAATTCCTTCAAGTAATGACGCCTGCCCACACGTGTAAACATAATTCATCTTTCAGATTTACTGCTTGAAATAGTGAATATTTTGCAAATGAAAGTCAAAACCATGCTAACCCATCTTTCATTTATCTTCCTGTAGTTTGGTAATACCCGATCCGGTGTCCCGTTTCTTTTGCATTAAATTTCCGAAGTAAGATGTTATTGTAGTGTCAGACATGTTGCGTGATACTGAACAAAACTGTATAAAGGACGTGAGGGCGGAACGTGTGGTAGATATCGTATATTAATTGTATATCCGCTATGCCAGTATGGCAGTACAGCAATCAAGAGACAACGTCGATTAGAGCTGTTGAAACATTATTGTGTAATTCTAAATTAGTCCCCACAGCACAGATTCAGAATAGATTATAAACGATGTTTACTAAAGTTTCAATTAACGTATTTGCAATGTCATATTTACTGTCAATATTGTACTGCTATTAATAAGATGATAAACACCAGAGTTTTTACCTTGGCTTTGATTTGCTGTGTTATGTTGAGACAGTTCTTCCAAGCCAGGTTTTGTTTGAAAGTATGTCAAGCCCCCGCACTACATATTTGTTACACTATTTTAATCATGAACAGTAAGATGTTTGAAGAAAGTACTTTAAGCACCCAAGCTTGTTTGAAAGCGTCACTAAACCACGTACAAGAATCTGTACTTTACTAAGAAAGTCTAGTCCCAAATATGACATATGTTACATTTGACCATCTTCTAAATGGCATTGTGTATTCACTAAACTACGTGTTACAAATGTGTGGGTCAACAAAGGATTTAACAATAGAAACATCATCGATGTTATTCCCGCAGTAAAATAATAATAGACTAAGTGCATATTTATAATGGGCACATATCCACGCTCGTAAGCATGCTCAAAACATTATTACCCCGGATAACCCAAGCTGCCTGTGAGGTGCGAGGAGGTTAATAGTCACATGACTTATCCCACCGGGTACCCATTTTCTGCTGGGTGAACAGAGACAATTTTGAACAAACTCACCTTCCTAAGGTGAGATCACATGTGCTTCGTTGTAGGGCAGGACTGAAGTCCAAGAAACCCTCAAGAGTCAAGCTACCAAACACGGTCACCCATCCAATGACTCTCCGCGCCCAACGTTGCTTAATTTTAACAGAGTTCTATGCACAGGACCACACATCACCACATATCATTTTCATCTTGTCAGAGAACAAATGAATCTAGAGTCTTAAATAATTGAAAGAACGAAATTCCGCGGGGCGGATACGCCTTCACTCTTCTTCGACCCGTGAGGATCCCGGTTAGAATTCATCTTAAGTAACCCATGCTTGTCGAAAGTGACGGCTAACGGAAACGGGTGGTCAGGCTCGATGACTTGGTTGACACAAGTCATCGTACCCACCTGTGTAGATCACTGGATTGTCTGGACCAGACTCGATTATTTACAGACCGCTGTATACTCCTGAGTGCGGCGTTAAACGACAACAAACCAAACCAACCAACACGGACTTTGTACATCACTCGCCCAAACATTGATGTATGTTCCGACTTTAACTGTTTGACAACACGAGCTCAAGCTCTACCAATAATTGGCATCCGACATACATTAATTCAAGGAAACAGTTACAGAAAGCAGAGTCTCTGAAACGTGTATTGCTAACGGAGAAACCTTCTTGAAGGAATTATCAGTATGACCATATCGTGGTAGAGTATATGCCATATTGTTGAAGCTTAGGAATGGTCCTCAGTGATATACGCTTTCTCTCTCTGTAAATCTTTCAGTGAAGAAATATTGATGCTAAAGGTGACAGAAACAGAAACAATACAATAGTGTTTAAGAGTATCAGTGTTACAGTAATTATTAATATTTCTCTAGCTGTCTTCATTCGGATGAATGTGATTGAAATCGTATCCCAAATGTGTAATTCAGTCTCGATTATTTACAAATGGACAGATTATTACTGAATATTGCTGAGAACAAAATATACACAAGAGCGGTTCAGTGTTTATTGGGTGATTACAATGTCTGAAGCATCTGTGTGAAACATAATTCATGCCGTCAACGAGAGGTTTGCTGGGCGGCGACTCGATTATTTGAAAGACATCTCGATAAAGACGGGCATTCATATTCGTGTCTCAATCTCTTTTATTATTGTTGGGATGGACAAGTCATCTACGGCGCCGCAATTCGCTGTTGCCTTGGGTACGCCAGAACGCATGATTGTAGATTCGAAAACCGGTTCGCCGCGATTTTGTTTATAGTATAGCCTGCTACATGCCCGTACTCATGGGTATTACAAAGTGGGAAACATCTGCATCACTTCAGACTGTCTTCCATTTCAAGGTAACACATCGTGATCTAAACTGGAATTCTGTTCAAAAAGGCGCAAAACACAACGCACTCACTCACTCAAACTTGTATACCATGCACCTGATTGTATACCTTTTATATTAATAGTTATAAATCGACGTTTGATTGGCGATTTGTAATACAAGCATTTACTTAATCAAGGTGTGATAAAACGCCAGCCTTCGTCTGAAATAATTACAAGCGTTATAGAAATAGCTTTGGGAATAATTCCTCCCCAAATGGTAAACGTAAACGACCTCGTCACTTCGTACGATCGTAAGAGGCGACTAACGGGATCGGGTGGTCAGGCTCACTGACGTGGTTGACACATGTCATCGGTTCCCAATTGCGCAGATCGATGCTCATGCTGTTGATCACTGGATTGTCTGGTCCAGACTCGATTATTTACAGACCGCCGCAATATAGCTGGAATATTGCTGATTGTGTCGGAAAACTTCACTCACTCGCTCACTCACTCACTGCGTACGTTATATGATGCAGGCTTTAGACTCAAGCCCACACTGCTTGAAACTTCGCAATAGATAAATAAAATAATCATGACGTTAACTGCCGCTATTAACACGACAAACAAACTTCCCAGTCGTCACTGACGAGAGTTTGACTACTTGCAGTCATCAACGCCCTTTCTCAATCTGCGAATAAAACAAACTTCCGTGTCGTCACTGAAGGCGACGTATCTGATTTAAATCTGTAATACTAACTATACCGAAAAGGTTTATAAAGTGCGCTTCTTGGTGAGCCATGGTAGGATATTCTTTGTAGCTAGCACTAAAATACCTTCATTAGTCCTTAGTAGAACAAGCACCAGCACATAATTCGAAATAAACTACAGGTCAAAAGAAAACATCCATGAATTTTCAAAGATCATGGGTAACAAGAAGCAAGCAAGAAAGTGTAATTCGATTTATGGTGATGTATTTAATACGTGTATCATTGTTGTGCATTACGTCTCTAGTGTTTGAACGAATGCTTTCATGTCCTATGTTTAATAACGTTCGATTTTTTTTACATTCTAAATTTTAGTTATAGAAGTTTCCAAATACAAATTATCTCTCGATGGAAGGCCAAGAGAAGCATCATCGGTAAATATGTTATTTCTGGTAAAGTTCAGATGAACAGGTTAAAAAGGGCGTACTGTACGGGATAAAAATCGTTAATGCAATGTTGCATAATATGGTCTTGTTTCTGGTGAACAACGTGGCTTACTATCATTACCAAACAAATACCTTAGAGGTCTTTTACAAGGACCTGTTACGTTTGGGCCTCTGTCTTAAATCCCAGGAATCAAAATGACAGCTAATAATGATATTTACCTCACGAAAAATGTCATACATACATTTACCTTAAATTGATAGCGAACGTGTGGGCATGGCAATATGCCGCTCTTCCCATATTTCAATATCACGGCAGGTAACATCACAAATGGCTTCACACATTGTGCATATTTGGGAAATCGAATCCGGTACTTCGGCATGACTCGCGAACCACAAGGCTATCCCCACCGCCGGACTCCAGACGTAAAGCCGGAAACAACAACAGGTTATCAAAACTGTTTGTAACACCAGCACATTTACACGGATAAAGTATATTTTCATATTATCATCGACTGTTGTTTGTATTCGGTCAAATGGGAAAATTATATAAAGCTGACATTTACGCCTTGGACCAGAGATAGAAAGTAGTTGACTATTGTATTTCATAGTCAATAGTCTCCTGAAATGTTTAAACTGAACTGCTTAACCAACTGAAAGTGAATGCCCACTGTGGCTGAGCCCTTACTGATCCAAGTGATGGAAAAGCTGTATGGCGTCAAAAGTTATCTCCCTTGCATCAAAACGTCTCAGTTTCTTTGAGTGATATTTTAGAAGTAGGAAAGTACAATATATAGTCCGTTTGGCTCAAAAGCGGACCGATGAATTGCAATCTAACTCGAAAACTAATAAACATATAATACTCAATGAAACGCTGATCATAATCAAAACATCAGATCAACTCTGTGATTTGTTTCCAGAGTTTATGTCCTACAATTTAAAAAGTTGGTTAACAAACTATCATTAAAATGTTGACACAGTTCTCTATTTGTTACGAGGGAGGAGTGCAGAGAAAGGGACAGCCAGGTGTTAGAGAAGCACGTACCAACAAAGCTATTGATTCATTAACCTGTGCTGTGCCGTCTCCATCCTTTCGCGCACACCTGGCTGTCCCTTTCTTTGCAGTCCTCCCTCGTAACAAATAGAGAACTGCTTCAATGTCTGTGTCGTCAACATCCGTATCCAAATCTATAAAGACTGTTGAAGATCGTCTGTAGTTGAATATCAAATATGTTGTTTAAATGTGCACGTACCTTTAGCTACATCAGAAATTTCATAATTTTTTGATTATCTTTGAAATAGTTATACAGACAATCAACATACATTTAATACATATTTATCAATTAGAAACAACCTTTGGCAGACATATGCAACTGTGAAGGTGGAGGATAATTAAAAACTACAGGTGGTAAACAGGTAAACACAGATAAACACCACATAAGTGTGTATAAATTTTATTTTATATGCAAATGATATGTAAAATGCATACATTATACAGTGCCCAGTTACACCATACCTTTATTTCTAGCATTATGAAATCCAAATCAAATTATTATAATATATTCCCAAAAAGTAGGACCAGGAGACGCATAACATATAATAACATATTTTATACAGAGATATTTTATCGTTGTAAAGACACATCTTGTCATTTTTATACGTCGACGTTTGACGTAATCATGAATACTATGATCAATTATGAAACAAAAATGAAATAAAAGTGACCTTTCAGCTTACCCTGTGAAAGATCTGACACTTTTAGAGAAAAACATGATTCCATACTCTGGGCTTGATTAAAGCATTTTGAACCTTCACTCATACAACCTGAAAGTGCAAAATGCTGCGTCATATTATACCAACCTACACCCAGTGCACATTAATAATTTGATATGTTGCTGACTTAAACTAGACAACAGACTGATGTGGTACAGGCTTGAAGTAGTAGCTCTGATTACAACCCGATCATTTACTGCTCGTGTCTTGTTATTTTATGAATAGAATTATCATATCAGATCAAGAATAAGTTTACATAATAAGGTTCTAAATTACCAATAGCAAAACTCAAACATTATGTAGAATTGTATATTGAGCAGCAGTTGCAACTCGTTTTGTCTGATGCAACAAGGTTATTACCTAAGGTTGCACTGGGTGCAAGTAAGATAAAAGTCCTCAGATAGAGCCCTGGTACGAACTTGTAACGGGGGAGATTAATACATACTGACACTTTATTAGTAATTGAACATAAATAATGCTGCACATAATTGTAACAAATGTCGAAAATTAAACAATCAGCCATTGCCTTTTCAGGTAAGAAGGTGGTCTCATAAACATCTGGTACCTTCAGAACTGTACGTCGAAACTGAGCAGGTGACGCACAATAATGCAGAAATGTTGGAGCTTGTCTTTCTGAGACAGCACGAGAACATGCAAAATAGGGAAGTTTTTAGGGCTCCTCTTTGAATTCATTTATGTGTACAATTTGGAAATTTTCTCGACATGTCTATCACAAAACATTTGAAATTTTGGGTTTTGAAATACAGTAATTCTGATCAAACATCTTTGAAGATGATTCGTATGGCATTCTTGGAAACCTTCATAGAAAGGCCGTGTTCTATTCTACCTCACGAGTTGTGAAACAGAGTCACCAAACTGTGGGGATCGCACCTTATTACTCAACACAAAAGGAAAGCTGGGTATAAACATATATTCAATATGATTTTGTACGCCCTCTTCTTTCAGCTGGTATGTCTTAAAATTGTGGAACGGGTTTCATTTACAATATCAGTCAAGCTGTTGTTGTGTGTTAATGATCCTTGCCTCATGAAAGAGATTAAGATTACCCTTGCAATATGGCAGTAACCTCCTTCTTATACTCATCCACATCAACACTGGGATCGTCATACTCATATGATTCTTCCCCTTCAGATTCAATATTTTCCTCAGTCTCCGATGATAGAAATACATCCAGCGGCGTCAGATGACGATCATACACAATGGTGTAAATGGAGGAAAGAGTCTTCACGACAGACATATATTCATCTGCCCATTTCTTGCAGTGGGTACTCCATGTTTTGATTGCAGCTAATGCATACTGGAGAGGAGTTCTGTTTTGGGTCACGCAAGGAAGCATCGGCTCCATACCTCAAGAGTTGTTCGACACATTCTCTGTGTCCTCTTTGAGCCGAATAGTGTAGTGGTGTTTGTCCGTGATGGTTCTGTATGTTTGGGTTAGCTCCTTTTTCCAGAAAAAGATTTAAGCCACTGATTAAGTCCTGGTATGCCATCTCCCTCTGTTCTTTCCGCCCTATTTTCACATGACTATTTAGAATGTCCATAACAACACCCATCTGGTGTAGTAGTTTATCGTTTGAAGTGATCCTGCTCTTACAAACAAGATGAAGAGGCGTGTCACCATTGATATCACCTTCACAGGGGTCCACGTTTACACGAAGCAACAACTTGATACAGTTACTGTCTATAGACCTAAGAGCAGCAAGGTGAAGTGGATTCCTCTGTTTAATGTCTTTGATATATGGATCAGCCCCATTTTCAAGCAGTAGCTCCACAGCGTAACTGCACCCACTTAATGCAGCAAGATGTAGTGGCGATCTCATGTTCTTGTCTAGCATTGAAATAACTGTCCTGCTGTGTAATAAAATGTTCAGCACTTTGCAATTAGCTTCTTCGCATCCTATATGAAGGGCTGTTTTGCCGTTGTTGTCCACAACACACGTTTCGGCACCCTTGGCAATTAAATACTGCATGGTTTCGTTTGTTCCAGACTTTGCTGCACAATGCAAAGCAGTCCATCCATCTTCATCAGCTTCATTTACAAAAGTGCAAATGTTTTCCAATTGCTCAATAGTACTCCTTTCACCTGTGGCAAGGTAGTGTAGAACAGTGCGTTTTTGAGCATCTTTGATATACGGGTCAGCCTTGAAATGAAGAAGCAGATGAAAGCAGTCAATGTTTTGATATATTGCGGCAAGATGAAGGGCTGTCATCCCTCCTATGTCTTGTATGGAGTGGTTAGCACCTTGTTCAAGTAACATCTGAGTTCCCTTTGCACGATCGTTCTGTACAGCATAATGAAGAGCCGTTTGACCCGTTGGGGTCTGCATATTCAGGAGGTCACTGCCGAGTTTTGTCAACACTTCAAGAACAGTGTCGGAGTAGTGAGTGTCTTCACAAAGTACATGCAAAACAGACGAACCATTGTTAGCTACATGCATATAATTAAACTGATGTTCCAATAATACTTCCACTACTCCAGCATCTTTAGAAAGTACTGCTGAAAACAAGGCCGTTCTTCCAAGTGTATCTACAACATCAACAGGAGCATGCTGTTCACGAAGAAGATACACCAACTTCTCAACAGGATCTGTATCTGACATAGCTGCTATGTGCACAAGAGAGCTGTTAGTTTCATCTGTGATGTCAGCCTCTGCGCCATTCTCAAATAACTGGGTCATAATATCAATATCAGCTTTCATAACTGCCTCAAATAGAACTTCTGTGTGAACATTAGCACCTTTGCTACAGAGTAGTTTGACGCTATCGATGTCGCCGGACTGAACAGCTGTATACAGGCATGTAACATTTCTCCGACCTTGGTGGTTTATTTCACTTCCAGCATCCAGAAGCGCACTCGTGGTTTGTTTACTTCTCCTGAACGGCGAGCTTAGAGGTGTATAACCAAAAGAACTCTGCATTTCAACAGAAGCTTTGGCCTCAAGCAAAGCTTGGATACATTCAAACGTATCTTCAGTTGCAGCTAGGTAGAGTGGGGTTTGATTTTCATCATCTTGTGCATCTACTTCAGCGCCAATGCTTATCAAGAATTTCACAGACTGTACATTGCCCGTACGTGATGCGCCATGAAGAGGTGTCCTTTCCAGGAAATCCTGTCTGTTAATATAGTTAATCGTTTTAATATGTTCAGATTCGCCCGCCTCTGTTGGTGTGCTGTGTTGTATTAAGTACATCAGTGATCTGATGCACCAATAAGAGTTTATCGTATAATATTTTTAGCTTCTCAAAGCTTTGGTTTTTAGACTTTGCTGCCATGTGAAGTACAGTGGCCTTTGATGGAATAGCTTCTGTGATAGGTATACTGGCATCATGTTCAAGGAGCAAGGAGACACATTCAACTCCACCATGTTCCAGCGCATCCCTTAAAGCAGTGCTTGACACACTCACCCACATCTTATCAACATTGACATGTGGATACACCTTAAAGACACATCTCAGTGCAGCCGGTGATACATGACTTGCAGCACAAAGTAAGAGAAACTCGGGATCAACTTTGCATCCAGTTCTCAGTAGTTGCTCCAAAATAGTCTCATATGTCTCATCGATTGTGTAGATCCCATAGTGTTTTGTTCCTCCATAAGAGAAAACACCCAAAAGTTGCTTCACACACTCACTGAACACCGCAAGGTGCTCTGTCGTTCCACTTTTTACAATCTGCTCAATTAATTGTTTGTTTCCTTTGAGGGTTGCAAGAGTAAATAAGACTGGAAAATCAACCATGCTTATGTACTTCACGTCTGGCGAAAACACAACTGCGTGTGTTAAAATGAAGTCATGTGGCACAACACACAGTGCTCGAAAAGAACTGTTATCAGGAACCACCTCCATTGTTAACAATAATCTACATAGTTTATGATGAGAGCCATATATGGCACAAGCCATGACCTGTGCGAGAGCCTTTGGGTGAAGATACGCCCTGGAGAACGGTAGAAGCAGGCACACAAGTTCGGTATTACCCTTCAGTGTCATGCAAGATAACATATTGTCACATTCAAACAATGAAATGTCTTCCTCATATATCAGTGGCGCATGTACATCGGCTGGCAATGTCTGACTAAACCTGACACTGAACAAATTTGAAAGCATATTGTCATCCAACCATTTGTGAAAGATGAAATCAACAAAATTTGTTTCTTGCAAGGACGGGTGACCAAGCACATCGATACATTCTTCAGACATCATTATATCTGTGATTCTCTCTGCCAAAAGACCATAACTTTCACTTGGAAGTATAATCATTTCTTCACTATAAGGTGCTTGATGGTTTTCTGTTCTGACTTTCTCCACTAGCAGAATTGCAGGGCATATCCTTAGACAGATCTCATGATATGATTTGGCTACCTTTAAGAATAAAACGTCGAAAATGGACTGATGTGAAAAACTGAACTGCCTGTCTATAATAACGAGATAGATGCCACACAGTGATAACGCTTTGTCTTTCATGCAAGCACGTGAAGGCATGCAACCATGCTTGGATGTGTCATACAGCGCCCGAAGGACTCCCTGAAAGTGGTCTGATGGTTTGAGAGACTCCAATAATCCAATATCCAATTGACCTTTAAGCATCATCACCAGTAACAATACAAAATAACCAATTGGATCACTTTCCTCTAAAATGTCTACCTCTTGAGCCAACAGTTCAAACGGCTTGAAGAAAAACATTTTGCCGTGGCTTTGTGCTTGTCTGCTGGAGGCAAAGAAGTGACAACACTGTGGAAATCCAATAGAAATATCCGTTGCCACTGCTATTTCATCAATGACTTGTTTTGTGAGGCTAGAGCTTTTCGGTCTACAAAACACCTTCAGAAACCTCTTTTTCTCATTTACTCTTAACCTACACACATCTTGATCAAGGTTTACACACTGTATACCGTCCATAAGAGTATTTGAATTCACCTGATTTGCACATTGGTCATAAACGTCTGGCCTAGAGGTTAAGATGAGAAAGACTTGTCCGTTTTCCACGATTGGCCACATGATATTAAACAAGCTCAACCATTTGTCAACAAGTGGTTGAACCAGATTACTGGACCCGAATATGTTGTCCAGCATAACGATATATTTAGTGTGTCCTGATTTAGGAATCATATTCCACTGAGTAGGAGATGTAAGTATTAGAGGTACCCTTCCAGTGTCTGCAGATACTCTTTTCAACAACTGGAGGCTAATATTTGACTTGCCAGAACCAGATATTCCTTTTATGAATAACGACCCAAACTGCTGGAGGATCCGGAGGGCTGTTCTCTCAGCAAATGTGGATATATGTTTCTTGGAATCTTCGAACATCAGTTGTCTTCTGGTTGATGCTGCGAGAGAAAAAAGAGGGTCAGTGAATATGGTGTCATGCGGATATATTCAAACAAAACCAAGGCTGGGAAGACAAGTAAAAGCTTCAGAATCGTGGCCTTCAGGGAGAGACTACTGTAACCACACGGCCACTCCACCATAGAAAAGAAACGAGACCACGAAATCAGAGACAGGCCCATGTTGTACAAACTGTAAGGGGTTTAAGACGTTTAATTTTCACTGTGCAGAGTAAGATGTGCCAGAAATCTTTCTTCGTTTGTGATAAGATCTTGCCGGGTCCGCACCCTACCAGTGTGGTTCAGCATATTATGTCAGTTCACTTGTACATGAACATTCACAGAGTAAAAGCCAATCTGTAGAAAGGTCGAAACTTCTGTTTGTACAATCCGCTTGTTTTAGATGCAAAATATGTGTAATGGAATTGGTAATTCTAGTCGTCAAATACATTTTACGAATACAGTTTCAAAAAAAACAAAAAAACTCACCAATTATGTTTTCCAGGGTGCCTCCACCTACAATTGAAAACAATAGCTAGGTATTAATGTAAAATGTATTTTGTCTAAACCATGTGTAGTATATTTGCTGGCACTGGTGTGAGGAATGGTTGTCAATGATAATGAGGACAATATAAAAAAGCCAGTAATAGATAAATCCATCAAAAGAGAAACCGGTCCCGAGTTAAGTCTACCGAAACCAGTAATCACATGGGGAACGGGGAAACATTTCTTGAAATCACGTTGCTCAGAGCTATAAATGATACAAAAAACATCGTTTTCTTAAAATATATAATTCATAAACGAAATATATCGAAGGTAAAGTTAAAGACATGGGCAAAACGGAAAAAGTGACAAAGTCAAATATATTTATAAAATGAAATAAACGTTTTAAAACTGATAGAAAACAATTGTACAGGAATCTAAATTCAATCAATTTCACTAATGAGAACAAAAATCCCATCATGGATTCCAGTGAATGGTTTTGGAAGCACTTGTGATCAATTACATATCAGAAACATTTTCAACACTGTAGATTTACGTCACAGTAGATATTGATCTTTTGGCGATGAGTATATATACGGCAGCTCCAACCTCGATGAACCAAGGGTAGATGATAATGTTCACCCGAAAAGGTCGCTTTGTGTGTGTTTCTTTGAACAAGACTACGGCACTCAGGCCCTTTCGGTATTCAAAACTTGTATTCAAAACTGTTCCCTTGTATCCAAATGGAATTACTCATTTCAGCTTCCTCGTGGATACAGAGCATGTTCCGCCTTGGTTGTGCAAAAGTCGAACAATACGTCTCCCCGTGACAGATATAACGGTAACCTCTCATCGTATTGGATCGACTACAGAAAAACGTATGACTGTACCCAAAGAATGGATTTTGAGATCACTGGAATGGATTCTCGTACCTCCCTCGGCGATTGTTTGTTATATTGAAGTCTTTAATGAATTACTGGTCTACTAGAGATGTATTCGCAAAAGCAGGTGCTGACTCCACCAATATCTATGAGAAGATGAATATGTATGTCAAGATAATTCTTATAGTCATTTGTTTTTCTGTTTGATACTGTGAGAAAGCTTGTTATCCAGGGCCTAGATTTCCAAAGCTCTCTTAGCGCTAAGATAGTCGTAAGTGCAATACATTAACATTAACTTATGACTATCTTAGCGCTAAGAGAGCTTCGAAAATCTAGGCCCCGGACTTCAGCCCAGACCCCCTACACCGCTTACATGGATGACCAGTCACTGATTGCCAAGGGAATTTACCCAATACAAATAATCACTTTATTTTAGATTCGACAGTTGCAGCATTCTTCAACTGTAATCTGGAACATTTCCCTATGAAGGTCACTACCTCTCTTTCCATACGACCTATGCGTTTCTTTTTCGGTAGAGTATAGCTGTGCATTAGTGAACGTGACAGGTCGCCGTAAATCATCACACTTAACGAAACAACGCATGATTCTGGTTTCAGTCTTGTGCAACTTTCTGATTCCAGGCTGCGAATACGTTTTTTACATGAAATAAACAAAATCGCTCGACAAGTTTGGAATGCGGAATATTTGAAAATGTCCCGCAAGGAGTTATGCGTCACAAACATGTGCACTCCAACTGGGTACAATGTGCCTTGTAAAACCGAGGCGACGCCAGATAATTTACAAGCGGGGTAACTGCTGTCGAACTTGTGAAGTGGACGGGAGGTGGGGGTGGATTTGGGTGATAAGAAACAGTACGATAGAAAGCAACCACTCAACGTCCAACAGCGCAGGTAAACGTTTAGAGGCATGAAAATGTTTCTTTTCATTGTCACGGTTCTGTTTTGCGTATCAACAAATTACGACAACATATGAATTAGAACATAGCTTAAGAGTCCAGTTAAATACGGATTGGCATTTCAAAAAAAAACTCGGTGTAAGATATGTCACCTTAACAGGAGCTCAGTCAGATTATCTTGGATGTTTTCCATGTATACTGACGCGTCCCTGCAAAACTGTCTATAGTGAAACAATATTGACACAAATATGTTTATTTAATTTCACGTGCTCTGATCGTTATCTAAAGTCAGTGAGTGATTTGGGGTTTACGCCGCTTTTATCAATATTTCAGCAATATCACGGCGGGGGACACCAGAAATGGGCTCCACACATTGTACTCATATGGGGAATCGAACCCGGGTCTTCGGCGTGACGAGCGAACGCTTTAACCACTAGGCTACCTTACAACCCCCGGGTATCTAGAGTATGCATAAACAGTATATAACACTTTCCCATTACTTAACACCATCCCCTAGCCTGGGGACAAGATGATGAAAGCAACCCGTATTCAACTAACCTGAATTGTAAGCAGCCATGACGGCGACGACAAACCGACTCGTCAACAGGGTAAAGCTGATATAACACGACTGATAATTCTGTGGCCCTGCCTACTCCTGATTATTTCCTTGTCTGGGGGAAATTTACAACATACGTCAACAAGTCAGGGTAAAGATCATGTTGCACCTTGTTTCCTGTTCGAAACTCTAAACAGGTGATAACAGCGGACATGCATTTTACTTTCAGGACAGCCACAGTGAAAATGAAACACGCACTCACATGCACCGGTCTGACATAAGACTGCTGTTTATTAGGCCCACATGCAGATACGTGACTTGCTTTGTTTGAAACAATCATATCACAAACGTGTCCATGTATACTGACTCCGAGCCGACCAGTCCTTGTTGTACCCATTAATGCCGAACGCCAGGTTGGTCCCTGCCTGGTGCTCGGCATTAATGGGTACAACAAGGACTGGTCGGCTCGGAGTCAGTATAATGTGTCTGAGTGGGGTATTCATGCTTCACTGCGGCGTGGTATCTCAGTGAGCTATAAAACCAGCTTAAATGTGGGCTAGTACAAGCAGCCACACACACACACACACACGCATGCACGTCGTCATATGAGCGAAATATTCTCAAGCACGACTCTAAACCCAATTTCACCTCACGTCACCCCCATGTATGTCTTAATTTGTCATACACAACATGGCAATACACCAGTAAAGGGTACTGCCGTAGGAAGGGTGGTGTGGGGTAGGGATTGGTGCGTTGTGGACTGGTGCTCAAAGGATGGTATTTTAACAGTACCACTTCATGTGAGCTTCAACCGCTCAGTCCACGGATCCAAAATGACAAACTTGCACCTGGTGTGAGGTGTATGTCAAATATATGGTCCTAAAGGTGCCGTCAGATTTATGGCGCCGAAGGTGCCGTCAGATTTATGGACCTGAAAATTATGCCTAATATATGGACCTGAAGGTGTCGTCAGTTGCATGGATCTCACGATGCCGTCAGATGTATGGACCTGAAGGTGCTGCCAGATGCATGGACCTGCAAATGCTATCTAATATATGGACCTGAAGGTGCCGTCAAATTATGGCCCCGAAGGTGCCGTGAGATGTATGGACCTGCACATTCTGTCTAATATATCGATCTGAAGGTGCGTCAGATGTATGGACCTCACGATGCCGTCATATGTATGGACTAGAAGGTGGTGTCGGATGCATGGACCATAAGGTGGTGTCGGATGTATGGACCTGAAGGTGGTGTCGGATGTATGGACCTTAAGGTGGTGTCGGATGTATGGACCTGAAGGTGGTGTCGGATGTATGGACCTGACTGTAGTGTCGAATGTATGGACCAGAAGGTGGTGTCAGATGTATGGACCAGAAGGTAGTGTCGGGTGTATGGACCTAAAGGTGGTGTCAGATGTATGGACCTGACTGTAGTGTCGATTGTTTGGACCTGAAGGTGGTGTCAGATATATGGACCTGACTGTAGTGTCGATTGTTTGGACCTGAACGTGGTTTCGGATGTATGGACCAGAAGGTGATGTCAGATGTATGGACCAGAAGGTGGTGTCGGATGTATGGACCAGAAGGTGGTGTCGGATGCATGGACCAGAAGGTGGTGTCGGATGTATGGACCAGAAGGTGGTGTCGGGTGTATGGACCTAAAGGTGGTGTCAGATGTATGGACCTGACTGTAGTGTCGATTGTTTGGACCTGAAGGTGGTGTCAGATATATGGACCTGACTGTAGTGTCGATTGTTTGGACCTGAACGTGGTTTCGGATGAATGGACCAGAAGGTGATGTCAGATGTATGGACCAGAAGGTGGTGTCGGATGTATGGACCAGAAGGTGGTGTCGGATGTATGGACCAGAAGGTGGTGTCGGATGTATGGACCAGAAGGTGGTGTCGGATGTATGGACCTGAAAGGTGGTGTCGGATGTATGGACCTGAAGTGTCGATTGTCGGGACCTGAAGGTGGTGTCAGGATGTATGGACCTGAAGGTGGTGTCGGATGTATGGACCTGAAGGTGGTGTCGGATGTATGGACCTGAAGGTGGTGTCAGATGTATGGACCTGAAGGTGGTGTCGGATGTATGGACCTGAAGGTGGTGTCGGATGTATGGACCTGAAGGTTGTGTCAGATGTATGGACCAAAAAATGGTGTCGGATGTATGGACCTGAAGGTGGTGTCGGATGTATGGACCTGAAGGTGATGTCGGAGGTATGGACCTGAAGGTGGTGTCATGTGTATAGTCCTGGAGGTAGTGTCAGATGTATGGACCTGAAGGTGGTGTCAGATGTATGGACCAGAAGGTGGTGTCAGATGTATGGACCAGAAGATGGTGTCAGATGTATGGACCTGAAGGTGGTGTCGGATGTATGGACCAGAAGATGGTGTCAGGTGTATGGACCTGAAGGTTGTGTCAGATGTATGGACCTGAAGGTTGTGTCAGATGTATGGACCTGAAGGTGGTGTCGGAGGTATGGACCTGAAGGTGGTGTCAGTTTTATGGACCGAAAGGTGGTGTGAGATATATGGACCTGAAGGTTGTGTGAGATATATGGACCAGAAGGTGGTGTCCGAGGTATGGACCTGAAGGTGGTGTCATGTGTATGGACCTGAAGGTTGTGTCAGATTTATGGACCAAAAGGTTGTGTCAGATGTATGGACCTGAAGGTAGTATCGAATGTATGAACCTGAAAGTAGCGGCGAATGCATGGAGGTGGTGTCAGATTATGAACCTACTGATGGTGACAAATACATGCTGATATTACTGCCAAATTATCAACTTGCAGCTGATTTTATATTGACAGGAATATATCAGACACGGGATGGCTTCAGTTCACACACTCAAACAGTGAATCGAACAGTTTATCAGAAAATCTTATATAGCATATTGCAATGTCACAATACAAATGATTGGAAAAATCAGTTTTCACACAAGTGATGAAGGTCCCTTTAATCAGACATCATCTGTACCCTAACTTGTCAGCTTAATGTATAAGGAAGTGAACGTGTATGAGATAACGCCTCTCACCTGTGTCAACCATGCATGTACATAGCGTGAGTGACAGTAATGTCAGTTTCCTTCCATCATGAATTATACTTTAATCCCTAGGCTGTCACATGTCCGTCAGCAAATGATACGGCCTCCGAGCGAAACAAATAATTCACAACCGAATAACATCAGAAGTTGATTCATGTTCTTCATTCCATCTTAGAAACCAGCTGACTGATGTCAGGTACGGAATGCAGACTGTTAACAAGTGACGCCAATTTCAGAGACCATCCCTAATTGAATTTTTTAAAAGCGATTAAACTGATGTATTGATTTATTACACGTCTTCCTGGTGAAGATGTAAAACCTCCGGATACGTCCACTCTTTCTCCCTTTTTACCTATCGTTTATCTGTTCGTATCCATGAGAGCGTATACATTTGTACAAGCATACGTCCGCTCTCATATGCATTCTGTGGTAACCGGTATACAATACATGTATACGACAGTCATTGTAGCATTGCAATTGGTTGATTGGAACGGAGTATGCAAAGCATAACATCAGTGTGTGGAGAATGATTATAACTCTAGGACAAAAGAAACTAATATATCTATGTCTGATGATGAGTAAAAATGAATGAAACAAGCACTCGTTTTCCGATGGTTATGTATTTGATATGGGTACCATTGTCCTGTTTTGGACTAGCCACGTTAACGATCTGACAGGTGTAGTATGTTTTGTCAAATACGTGTGTGTATATGTGTGTGTGTTTGTGGTTGTACAAGGTGCATTGTATGTGAAAATATGGATATTTTCAATAGTGGTATATGAGTGGGTATATAAATTATACATCTGTACAGGAATATGATTATGACGTCATTTCCGGTTACAAATGTAATATTTTCAATGGATCAAGTAAACAACTTTACGAACAAGACCATATGAAATGATTACATTATTTGACAATTACGCTCGAACACATAGAGACATTGGTCACATGAACGGTTCAACAACGTAATTGAGCGTTAGACACAGCCTCCACACATTCGTTCAAGTGTAAGTAGCGTTTCCCAAACCGATTTGGTGTTTTTCCTTCACGTCTTGTGTGTAATTCGTAAACGAATTTGGCACACAGAATAACATAACAGTTGTTATAAAAATATAGGTTAGATTTATTTAAATTAAAGAACTTGCTATATACATGGAAATGTCAAATAATTACACAATAATTATGTAGTTTTCTGAATGATTCTTTCTGATGATTGTATCTGGTTACATTGCTGAAACAATGATATTGCAACCTCCGATTATAACTTAGGGCTGCCTCATCTTAGGAGAAATATATTACATATAAACATATCATACATTATAGTATGGACATTGTAGTATCTCTCACATATTGACATGGATATAGACGAGACACGAGTGTTGTATTTTTAAATTAAAAACCGTGCATGTAATTCATATTGGATTCAACATGTACATCAAAAGTAGTACTGCAAAATATCAATTTTATCTGTCACAGATATGCATTTGTGTGAAACATTATATATACATTCAAATATAGATGTATCACAGATTTCAGCTTATCGCATATAAACATAGATAGTGCATCTGTATTCATTCTGACATATGTATGTTTCACAAACAAAACCAAAGAAAAGTCCATATACATATTGTTTGTATCTCACATTACCAGAGTGCATACATATAGCATTATAGCATCTGGTACATTTAGAAATTCAATCCAGAACAATCCGTGCAGAATTCATGCAGAAATATGTTCATAATTCATTCGGTCTGTAGTGAGTGTGCATGATCGTAGATTCACACGCTACTGATGTCAACATCTGAACGAATATTATTAAGAACAAAGCCATGTCAATAAGCATAAGACAGATCTCTAGAGATATCATCACAAATATGCATAGGAAAGGCTGTTATGAAATGGATAAGTTGGCTGTCAAACTGTCAACTTGCATGGTGGGGTGGGGATTGGGCGGGGTTAGTAGTTATGGGGGTGGGCGTAGTAGGGTACATATGTCTGTACTATATTACACATGATTAGACTGACTTCGAACGATGCTATATGCAGCAGACACAATGTCAATTACACAGGCATGTATAACTATCTGCAAGTCAACCTATGCCACGTATTCGTCCAGTGATACATCTGAGAGTTTGTAATGTAATACACATTAGATCCAAAACTTCACACAGTTGGGATAATGATTCACAGTTTGTCAACAACTCTGCTGAACTTCTTGAGGTCACCAAAGGGCAGCTGAAGATTAGTCAGCAGATAGTTGAAGTAAAACTCGGGTGCCTGAACGGATAAAAGGTATAGGTTATTTTCCGATCACAGCCCAGTATTGAAGCGAATTCCTGAGGTGAATGGGAATTTCAGAATCATATGATAAAGTTTGTCATATAATCTCAGTGCTGGTACCAGACACAACATGAATTTGGAAAAACATGAAACTTCTCTTGTGGAACGAGGCATTCAAAGCATTAATTATCTTACATCAGTCACCAGCATCTGAAACGTTATCATATTAACACCTCCTAATCATACAATGTTATCCGTAATTATGGGAAAAAAATAATTTTCGTTTGATATTGTTCTGTCGTTCGTGTTTTTGTAGAAGTATACAGAGGAAGAGTATGTTTGTTTGCTTTTAAACGGCGCTCTCGGCAATATTCCAGCCACATGATAATCGAGTCTGGACCAGAGAATCCAACGATAAACAGCATGAGTATTGATATACGTAATTGGGATACAATGACATGTGTCAAGTCAGACTGACCATACGATCCCGTTAGTCGCCTCTTTCGACAAGCATGGATTGCTAAAGATCACTTTAACCCTGATTTACATAAGTAAGGACTCATATCATGGTGCTTGGAACCAAACTTTGGCGATAACTTAATTCCAGCTAAATTGGAAATACGCTGTTTCGACATCCCGTATATTTAGTAATAGATTTCAACAAGCCTTCCTGCTTACCCTGTGAGATACTTCACGCAGAAACAATAGATCATCCCCAGTCTGTTTGCGTAGCAACGAGTCACTGAAACAAAAGGAAATCAGTTCTGGTTTGGTTCATTTAGCTTAATTCAATGATCACTCTCTCTTTTCATATTTCTGGTTGTACTTCACAAAGGGACCGTTCATAATTTATGGCTAGGGGGGTGATGATGATTTTATGGGGGGTCACCCAATTTGTTCTGGGGAGCTAGGGGGTCATCAATTTTGTACACACGTACTAGGGTGGGGTCAGCAATTTGTACATAAATATGTGTGTAAAATTATGCTTAGAAATTATGGGAAGGGAAGGGGGGTAATTGATTTTGTACATGACCTGCAGGGGGTTACTTATTTTGTACATAACTTTTAGGGGGGGGGGCATACACATTGTACATGCTTCTCCATAAAAATCATCATCACACACACACCCACACACACCCCACCCCTAGCCATAAATTATGGACGGTCCCCAACATACATTTATCCGACATTTGCCATCCCGTACTATGGATATACGGAATCCGAGTGAAGACGCCGTAAGAACGGCACATACTATGGCAATCTTCAGACAAGTAAATACCAAGGATATATGTACTTTGTTAATCCTGTCTTCGTGAGCCAATTCTGGACATCCTTCACTGACCAGTCAGCAAGTGACCGACCCCTTGCAGCGGCAAGGGGAGCTGCTTTCACAACGGGAACTATCTTAGTCTCACCCTGGAGATAAAAACAACAACTGTCTGTGTTATACAATATCACACATAGACAATTCGTAATTAATAACAAGTCGAACAATACGTCTCCCCGTGACAGATATAACGGTAACCTCTCATCGTATTGGATCGACTACAGAAAAACGCATGACTGTACCCAAAGAATGGATTTTATCATCACACTTAACGAAACAACGCATGATTCTGGTTTCAGTCTTGTGCAACTTTCTGATTCCAGGCGGCGAATACGTTTTTTTACATGAAATAAACAAAATCGCTCGACAAGTTTGGAATGCGGAATATTTGAAAATGTCCCACAAGGAGTTATGCGTCACAAACATGTGCACTCCAACTGGGTACAATGTGCCTTGTAAAACCGAGGCGACGCAAGATAATTTACCAGCGGGGTAACTGCTGTCGAACTTGTGAAGTGGACGGGAGGTGGGGGTGGATTTGGGTGATCAGAAACAGTACGATAGAAAGCAACCACTCAACGTCCAACAGCGCAGGTAAACGTTTAGAGGCATGAAAATGTTTCTTTTCATTGTCACGGTTCTGTTTTGCGTATCAACAAATTACGACAACATATGAATTAGAACATAGCTTAAGAGTCCAGTTAAATACGGATTGGCATTTCAAAAAAAAACTCGGTGTAAGATATGTCACCTTAACAGGAGCTCAGTCAGATTATCTTGGATGTTTTCCATGTATACTGACGCGTCCCTGCAAAACTGTCTATAGTGAAACAATATTGACACAAATATGTTTATTTAATTTCACGTGCTCTGATCGTTATCTAAAGTCAGTGAGTGATTTGGGGTTTACGCCGCTTTTATCAATATTTCAGCAATATCACGGCGGGGGACACCAGAAATGGGCTCCACACATTGTACTCATATGGGGAATCGAACCCGGGTCTTCGGCGTGACGAGCGAACGCTTTAACCACTAGGCTACCTTACAACCCCCGGGTATCTAGAGTATGCATAAACAGTATATAACACTTTCCCATTACTTAACACCATCCCCTAGCCTGGGGACAAGATGATGAAAGCAACCCGTATTCAACTAACCTGAATTGTAAGCAGCCATGACGGCGACGACAAACCGACTCGTCAACAGGGTAAAGCTGATATAACACGACTGACAATTCTGTCACCCTGCCTACTCCTGATTATTTCCTTGTCGAGGGGAAATTTACAACATACGTCAACAAGTCAGGGTAAAGATCATGTTGCACCTTGTTTCCTGTTCGAAACTCTAGACCGGTGATAACAGCGGACATGCATGTTTACTAGGGACAGCCACAGTGAAAATGAAACACGCACTCACATGCACCGGTCTGACATAAGACTGCTGTTTATTAGGCCCACATGCAGATAACGCCAGGTTGGTCCCTGCCTGGTGCTCGGCATTAATGGGTACAACAAGGACTGGTCGGCTCGGAGTCAGTACACATGGACACGTTTGTGATATGATTGTTTCAAACAAAGCAAGTCACGTATCTGCTTGTGGGTCTAATAAACAGCAGTCTTATGTCAGACCGGTGCATGTGAGTGCGTGTTGCATTTTCACTGTGGCTGTCCCTACAAAAAGACGACCTGTCACGTTCACTAATGCACAGCTATACTCTACCGAAAAAGAAACGCAAAGGTCGTATGGAAAGAGACGTAGTGACCTTCATAGGGAAATGTTCCAGATTACAGTTGAAGAATGCTGCAACTGTCGAATCTAAAATAAAGTGATTATTTGTATTGGGTAATTTCCCTTGGCAATCAGTGACTGATCATCCATGTAAGCGGTGTAGGGGGTCTGGGCTGAAGTCCGGGGCCTAGATTTTCGAAGCTCTCTTAGCGCTAAGATAGTCATAAGTTAATGTTAATGTATTGCACTTACGTCTATCTTAGCGCTAAGAGAGCTTCGGAAAGCTAGGCCCTGGATAACAAGCTTTCTCACAGTATCAAACAGAAAGACAAATGACTATAAGAATTATCTTGACATACATATTCATCTTCTCATAGATATTGGTGGAGTCAGCACCTGCTTTTGCGAATACATCTCTAGTAGACCAGTAATTCATTAAAGACTTCAATATAACAAACAATCGCCGAGGGAGGTACGAGAATACATTCCAGTGATCTCAAAATCCATTCTTTGGGTACAGTCATGCGTTTTTCTGTAGTCGATCCAATACGATGAGAGGTTACCGTTATATCTGTCACGGGGAGACGTATTGTTCGACTTTTGCACAATCAAGGCGGAACATGCTCTGTATCCACGAGAAAGCTGAAATGAGTAATTCCATTTGGATACAAGGGAACAGTTTTGAATAAAAGTTTTGAATACCGCAAGGGCCTGAGTACCGCAGTCTTGTTCAAAGAAACACACTCAAAGCGACCTTTTCAGGTGAACATTATCATCTACTCTTGGTTCATCGAGGTTGGAGCTGCCGTATATATACTCATCGCCAAAAGATCAATATCTACTGTGACGTAAATCTGCAGTGTTGAAAATGTTTCTGATATGTAATTGATCACAAGTGGTTCCAAAACCATTCACTGGAATCCATGATGGGATTTTTGTTCTCATTAGTGAAATTGATTGAATTTAGATTCCTGTACAATTGTTTTCTATCAGTTTTAAAACGTTTATTTCATTTTATAAATATATTTGACTTTGTCACTTTTTCCGTTTTGCCCATGTCTTTAACTTTACCTTCGATATATTTCGTTTATGAATTATATATTTTAAGAAAACGATGTTTGTTGTATCATTTATAGCTCTGAGCAACGTGATTTCAAGAAATGTTTCCCTGTTCCCCCTGTGATTACTGGTTTCGGTAGACTTAATTCGGGACCGGTTTCTCTTTTGATGGATTTATCTATTACTGGCTTTTTTATATTGTCCTCATTATCATTGACAACCATTCCTCACACCAGTGCCAGCAAATACGCAGTATTAAACATGTTGAAGATATACTACACATGGTTTAGACAAAATACATTTTACATTAATACCTAGCTATTGTTTTCAATTGTAGGTGGAGGCACCCTGGAAAACATAATTGGTGAGTTTTTTTGTTTTTTTTGAAACTGTATTCGTAAAAATGTATTTGACGACTAGAACTACCAATTCCCTTACACATATTTTGCATCTAAAACAAGCGGATTGTACAAACAGAAGTCTCGACCTTTCTACAGATTGGCCTTTACTCTGTGAATGTTCATGTACAAGTGAACTGACATAATATGCTGAACCACACTGGTAGGGTGCGGACCCGGCAAGATCTTATCACAAACGAAGAAAGATTTCTGGCACATCTTACTCTGCACAGTGAAAATTAAACGTCTTAAACCCCTTACAGTTTGTACAACATGGGCCTGTCTCTGATTTCGTGGTCTCGTTTCTTTTCTATGGTGGAGTGGCCGTGTGGTTACAGTAGTTTCTCCCTGAAGGCCACGATTCTGAAGCTTTTACTTGTCTTCCCAGCCTTGGTTTTGTTTGAATATATCCGCATGACATCATATTCACTGACCCTCTTTTTTCTCTCGCAGCATCAACCAGAAGACAACTGATGTTCGAAGATTCCAAGAAACATATATCCACATATTCAGGATGTCCAGAATTGGCTCACGAAGACAGGATTAACAAAGTACATATATCCTTGGTATTTACTTGTCTGAAGATTGCCATAGTATGTGCCGTTCTTACGGCGTCTTCACTCGGATTCCGTATATCCATAGTTCGGGATGGCAAATGTCGGATAAATGTATGTTGGGGACCGTCCATAATTTATGGCTAGGGGTGGGGTGTGTGTGTGGGGGTGTGTGATGATGATTTTTATGGAGAAGCATGTACAATGTGTATGCCCCCTCTAAAAGTTATGTACAAAATAAGTAACCCCCCTGCAGGTCATGTACAAAATCAATTACCCCCCTTCCCTTCCCATAATTTCTAAGCATAATTTTACACACATATTTATGTACAAATTGCTGACCCCCACCCTAGTACGTGTGTACAAAATTGATGACCCCTAGCTCCTAAGAACAAATTGGGTGACCCCATAAAATCATCATCACCCCCTAGCCATAAATTATGAACGGTCCCTTTGTGAAGTACAACCAGAAATATGAAAAGAGAGAGTGATCATTGAATTAAGCTAAATGAACCAAACCAGAACTGATTTCCTTTTGTTTCAGTGACTCGTTGCTACGCAAACAGACTGGGGATGATCTATTGTTTCTGCGTGAAGTATCTCACAGGGTAAGCATGAAGGCTTGTTGAAATCTATTACTAAATATACGGGATGTCGAAACAGCGTATTTCCAAATTTAGCTGGAATTAAGTTATCGCCAAAGTTTGGTTCCAAGCACCATGATATGAGTCCTTACTTATGTAAATCAGGGTTAAAGTGATCTTTAGCAATCCATGCTTGTCGAAAGAGGCGACTAACGGGATCGTATGGTCAGTCTGACTTGACACATGTCATTGTATCCCAATTACGTATATCGATACTCATGCTGTTTATCATTGGATTCTCTGGTCCAGACTCGATTATCATATGGCTGGAATATTGCCGAGAGCGCCGTTTAAAAGCAAACAAACATACTCTTCCTCTGTATACTTCTACAAAAACACGAACGACAGAACAATATCAAACGAAAATTATTTTTTCCCATAATTACGGATAACATTGTATGATTAGGATGTGTTAATATGATAACGTTTCAGATGCTGGTGACTGATAATTAATGCTTTGAATGCCTCGTTCCACAAGAGAAGTTTCATGTTTTTCCAAATTCATGTTGTTTTTGGTACCTGCACTGAGATTAAATGACAAACTTTATCATAAGATTCTGAAATTCCCATTCACCTCAGGAATTCGCTTCAATACTGGGCTGTGATCGGAAAATAACCTATACCTTTTATCCGTTCAGGCACCCGAGTTTTACTTCAACTATCTGCTGACTAATCTTCAGCTGCCCTTTGGTGACCTCAAGAAGTTCAGCAGAGCTGTTGACAAACTGTGAATCATTATCCCAACTGTGTGAAGTTTTGGATCTAATGTGTATTACATTACAAACTCTCAGATGTATCACTGGACGAATACGTGGCATAGGTTGACTTGCAGATAGTTATACATGCCTGTGTAATTGACATTGTGTCTGCTGCATATAGCATCGTTCGAAGTCAGTCTAATCATGTGTAATATAGTACAGACATATGTACCCTACTACGCCCACCCCCATAACTACTAACCCCGCCCAATCCCCACCCCACCATGCAAGTTGACAGTTTGACAGCCAACTTATCCATTTCATAACAGCCTTTCCTATGCATATTTGTGATGATATCTCTAGAGATCTGTCTTATGCTTATTGACATGGCTTTGTTCTTAATAATATTCGTTCAGATGTTGACATCAGTAGCGTGTGAATCTACGATCATGCACACTCACTAGAGACCGAATGAATTATGAACATATTTCTGCATGAATTCTGCACGGATTGTTCTGGATTGAATTTCTAAATGTACCAGATGCTATAATGCTATATGTATGCACTCTGGTAATGTGAGATACAAACAATATGTATATGGACTTTTCTTTGGTTTTGTTTGTGAAACATACATATGTCAGAATGAATACAGATGCACTATCTATGTTTATATGCGATAAGCTGAAATCTGTGATACATCTATATTTGAATGTATTATATAATGTTTCACACAAATGCATATCTGTGACAGATAAAATTGATATTTTGCAGTACTACTTTTGATGTACATGTTGAATCCAATATGAATTACATGCACGGTTTTTAATTTAAAAATACAACACTCGTGTCTCGTCTATATCCATGTCAATATGTGAGAGATACTACAATGTCCATACTATAATGTATGATATGTTTATATGTAATATATTTCTCCTAAGATGAGGCAGCCCTAAGTTATAATCGGAGGTTGCAATATCATTGTTTCAGCAATGTAACTAGATACAATCATCAGGAAGAATCATTCAGAAAACTATATAATTATTGTGTAATTATTTGACATTTCCATGTATATAGCAAGTTCTTTAATTTAAATAAATCTAACCTATATTTTTATAACAACTGTTATGTTATTCTGTGTGCCAAATTCGTTTACGAATTACACACAAGACGTGAAGGAAAAACACCAAATCGGTTTGGGAAACGCTACTTACACTTGAACGAATGTGTGGAGGCTGTGCCTAACGCTCAATTACGTTGTTGAACCGTTCATGTGACCAATGTCTCTATGTGTTCGAGCGTAATTGTCAAATAATGTAATCATTTCATATGGTCTTGTTCGTAAAGTTGTTTACTTGATCCATTGAAAATATTACATTTGTAACCGGAAATGACGTCATAATCATATTCCTGTACAGATGTATAATTTATATACCCACTCATATACCACTATTGAAAATATCCATATTCTCACATACAATGCACCTTGTACAACCACAAACACACACACACACATATACACACACGTATTTGACAAAACATACTACACCTGTCAGATCGTTAACGTGGCTAGTCCAAAACAGGACAATGGTACCCATATCAAATACATAACCATCGGAAAACGAGTGCTTGTTTCATTCATTTTTACTCATCATCAGACATAGATATATTAGTTTCTTTTGTCCTAGAGTTATAATCATTCTCCACACACTGATGTTATGCTTTGCATACTCCGTTCCAATCAACCAATTGCAATGCTACAATGACTGTCGTATACATGTATTGTATACCGGTTACCACAGAATGCATATGAGAGCGGACGTATGCTTGTACAAATGCATACGCTCTCATGGATACGAACAGATAAACGATAGATAAAAAGGGAGAAAGAGTGGACGTATCCGGAGGTTTTACATCTTCACCAGGAAGACGTGTAATAAATCAATACATCAGTTTAGTCGCTTTTAAAAAATTCAATTAGGGATGGTCTCTGAAATTGGCGTCACTTGTTAACAGTCTGCATTCCGTACCTGACATCAGTCAGCTGGTTTATAAAATGGAATGAAGAAAACAGAACATGAATCAACTTCTGATGTTATTCGGTTGTGAATTATTTGTTTCGCTCGGAGGCAGTATCATTTGCTGACGGACATGTGACAGCCTGGGGATTAAAGTATAATTCATGATGGAAGGAAACTGACATTACCTGCCACTCACGCTATGTACATGCATGGTTGACACAGGTGAGAGGCGTTATCTCATACACGTTCATTTCCTTATACATTAAGCTGACAAGTTAGGGTACAGATGATGTCTGATTAAAGGGACCTTCATCACTTGTGTGAAAACTGATTTTTCCAATCCATTTGTATTGTGACATTGCAATATGCTATATAAGATTTTTTGATAAACTGTTCGATTCACTGTATGAGTGTGTGAACTGAAGCCATCCCGTGTCTGATATATTCCTGTCAATATAAAATCAGCTGCAAGTTGATAATTTGGCAGTAATATCTGCATTTATTTGTCACCATCAGTGGGTTCATAATCTGACACCACCTCCATGCATTCGCCGCTACTTTCAGGTCCATACATCTGACACAACCTTTTGGTCCATAAATCTGACACAACCTTCAGGTCCATACACATGACACCACCTTCTGGTCCATACCTCGGACACCACCTTCTGGTCCATATATCTCACACAACCTTCAGGTCCATATATCTCAAACCACCTTTCGGTCCATAAAACTGACACCACCTTCAGGTCCATACCTCCGACACCACCTTCAGGTCCATACATCTGACACAACCTTCTGGTCCATGTATGTGACACAACCTTCAGGTTCATACACCTGACACCATCTTCTGGACCATACATCCGACACCACCTTCAGGTCCATACATCTGACACCATCTTCTGGTCCATACATCTGACACCACCTTCTGATCCATACATCTGACACCACCTTCAGGTCCATACATCTGACACCACCTCCAGGACTATACACATGACACCACCTTCAGGTCCATACCTCCGACATCAACTTCTGGTCCATACATCCGACACGACCTTCAGGTCCATACATCCGACACCATTTTTTGGTCCATACATCTGACACTATCTTCTGGTCCACACATCTGACACCACCTTAAGGTCCATACATCCGACATCATCTTCTAGTCCATATATCTGACACCACCATCTGGTCCATATATCTGACACAACGTTCAGGTCCATACATCCGACACCACCTTCTGGTCCATACATCCGACACCACCTTCTGGTCCATACACCCGACACCACCTTCTGGTCTATACATCTGACATCACCTTCTGGTCCATGCATCCGAAACCACGTTCAGGTCCAAACAATCGACACTACAGTCAGCTCCATACATCTGACACCACCTTTAGGTCCATACACCCGACACTACCTTCTGGTCCATACATCTGACACCACCTTCTGGTCCATACATTCGACACTACAGTCAGGTCCATATATCTGACACCACTTTCTGGTCCATGCATCCGACACCACCTTAAGGTCCATACATCTGACACCACCTTCTAGTCCATACATCCGACACCACCTTCAGGTCCATACATCCGACACCACCTTATGGTCCATGCATCCGACACCACCTTTTAGTCCATACATATGACGGCATCGTGAGGTCCATACATCTGACGCACCTTCAGATCGATATATTAGACAGAATGTGCAGGTCCATACATCTCACGGCACCTTCGGGGCCATAATTTGACGGCATCTTCAGGTCCATATATTAGATAGCATTTGCAGGTCCATGCATCTGGCAGCACCTTCAGGTCCATACATCTGACGGCATCGTGAGATCCATGCAACTGACGACACCTTCAGGTCCATATATTAGGCATAATTTTCAGGTCCATAAATCTGACGGCACCTTCGGCTCCATAAATCTGACGGCACCTTTAGGACCATATATTTGACATACACCTCACACCAGGTGCAAGTTTGTCATTTAGGATCCGTGGACTGAGCGGTTGAAGCTCACATGAAGTGGTACTGTTAAAATACCATCCTTTGAGCACCAGTCCACAACGCACCAATCCCTACCCCACACCGCCCTTCCTACGGCAGTACCCTTTACTGGTGTATTGCCATATGACGACGTGCATGCGTGTGTATGTGTATGTGCGGCTGCTTGTACTAGCCCAGACTTAAGCTGGTTTTATAGTGCTAGCCCACTGAGATACCACGCCGCAGTGAAGCATGAATACCCCACTCAGACACATTATACTGACTCCGAGCCGACCAGTCCTTGTTGTACCCATTAATGCCGAGCGCCAGGCAGGGACCAACCTGGCGTGTGGCATTAATGGGTACAACAAGGACTGGTCGGCTCGGAGTCGGTGTACATGGACACGTTTGTGATATGATTGTTTCAAACAAAGCAAGTCACGTATCTGCATTTGGGCCTAATAAACAGCATTTTAATGTCAGACCGGTGTGTGTGAGGGCGTTTGTCATTTTCACTGTGGCTGTCCTGAAAGTATATTGCATGTCCACTGTTATCACCGGTCTAGAGTTTCGAACAGGAAACAAGATGCAACATGATCTTTACCCTGACTTGTTGACGTATGTTGTAAATTTCCCCCAGACAAGGAAATAATCAGGAGTAGGCAGGGCCACAGAATCATCAGTCGTGTTATATCAGCTTTTCCCTGTTGACGAATCGATTTGTCGTCGCCGTCATGGCTGCTTACAATTCAGGTTAGTTGAATATGGGTTGCTTTCATCATCTTGTCCCCAGGCTAGGGGATGGTGTTAAATGATGGGAAAGTGTTATGTACTGTTTATGCATAATCTAGATACCCGGGGATGGTAAGGTAGCCTAGTGGTTAAAGCGTTCGCTCGTCACGCCGAAGACCCTGGTTCGATTTCCCACATGGGTACAATGTGTGGAGCCCATTTCTGGTGACATTGCCGCCGTGATATTGCCGAAATAGTGCTAAAAGCGGCGTAAAACCCATCTCACTCACTAACTTCAGATAACGATCAAAGCATGAGTCAGTGACGTATGTAAGTGTCCGGTTGATATGTAAATATCACACAGAACGTGTATCACGTCTGTTGTTAAGATCTCTTTTACCAAAGCGTGCTACAAAATTGTTTTCGGAGAGTCTTAGCTGTTTTTGTAAAGCATTTGCTGGGTAACATCTGTCGTACTTAAGTAGCACGTGAAATTGAATAAACACGTTTCTGTCAATATTGTTTCGACTCGAGACAGTTTTGCAGGGACTGTTACGACGTAAATTGTAATAAAAACGCAAATTGTAATACTTGCAGCAAATTGTAATAAACTTGACGTAAATTGTAATAAAAACGTAAATTGTAATAAAAATTGAC